GGAGGCAGAAAGGGCGGCCGGGAACAGAACCCCTGCGTAAGTAAGGATTCCACTGAACCTGATGCTTGAAAAAGCAGTGTAATCCACATATGTAAGAAATCCATGGTTTGGATTACAGAGCTGTTATGTTCCCTTTGCCGCCTCCACCTCCTCCCTAGTAGGAGCCCTGCTGAAAAAGTTCCCCCGAAGGTCAGGGGTTCTGGCTGAATAGTGGGGTGGCTAGGGAAGAGGGGGTTCAGGCAAAGGCAACTTCAGTGAGCTGTGTTCTTTATGGAAGTATCTGAAAGCCTTTTTGTTCAGCATGTGGTTTTAATAAACAGTATTTCAAAGCCATTCGCTGTTTCCTCCTAGGGCAGTACGTACAAGCTTTCCGTAGTAATCCCAATGAGCCTCTCTATAGCCTTTGTATAGGCCTGACTTTCATCCACATGGCCTCTCAGAAGTATGTGTTAAAAAGGCATGCGCTTATAGTACAGGTGAGTTCATTTTATTTTTATTTTTATCCCACTCTTCCTCTTGTGTGGCACATGCTTGCATAGCCTGTTCTCGTGCTATGATGTTTTAAATATTCTGTTGGGAGCCGCCCAGAGTGGCTGAGGAAACCCAGCCAGATGGGAGGGGTATAAATAATAAATTTTATTATCTATCTATCTATCTCTATCATGTTGAGCGGCAAGGGTTGAAATGGGTCTTATTATGGTTTCTCCTCAGTGCAGCTTACTTTGAACTCATTATTGATCATTTTGTTACAGTTTTACACACATGGCTATTCTCTCTGTTTAAATACTTGGGTTTGCTGTGGAGAATATATGGGTTAAGTACATGGTGGGCAAATAGCCTCAGACATTTTGTGTTGTTTCACTTCTATACAATTTTTCTACCATAGCTATGAGCACCCAGAATGTATTTTCTGCTGGGATTTAGCAAACAGACCTGTGCAACCATAGGTCTCTTAACACACAAATTGTACTGGAAGTACTAAAAACAAACCACTGTAGGCTTCATGGTCCCTTATTTTCAAATCTGTAAATTGACAGCTATGCATCTGACCAAGTCCTAGTTTTGAGGGTTGGGAGAATGGTGGACTTAAAAACAGCCGTCTGCTCATCCAGAGAGAATGGCCCTGGGAATCCTTTCGACTGCCACTGCAACCTGCTCTTGACTCTTTCAGATTACTTTAATCTTGGACGACATTTTTAAAGAACATGGGAATGGCTGGTTTTAAAATTCCATTCTCATTCCAAGTACCTTGGTTTTGGAACAGCTTAGTTCCCTACGTTTTGGCTCCCGAACACCGCAAACCCAGAAGTGACTTCTCCGGTCTGTGAACTGTTTTTGGATGCCGAACGTCTGAGGGGGCTTCCAATTGGCTGCAGAAGCCATGCTTTGGTTTCTGAACATTTTGGAAGCTGAACGGATTCCGTTTGACTTCGAAGGTGCGGGTGTATTCGAAGCTGGGGCAAGAAATCTTATTGGGGGCAAAGGCAGCTCTACATTCGATTTACTGCTCCTTGTTCCTTAGAATTTCTGGTTTTCACACGAGACCTTTCTCCCTCTCCCACCTTGTACACAGGGCTTCTCATTCCTCCAGCAATATCTGAGCCTCCGTGGTTCCTGCCAAGAATCTTTCTACAACTTAGGCCGTGGCCTTCATCAGTTGGGATTGGTACATTTGGCAATTCACTATTACCAGAAGGCACTGGAGCTTCCCCCTCTGATCCTAGAGGTAATGTATGGAAATCTTAGCCCATTACAATTGAAACAGACACTTGAGCCAGGCTTGCAAAGTGCAGGGTTCTCCATTAACGGTTTTAGCATGCTATGCTCCATTTCCTGACATTGTGGAAGGCCAAGGGAGGTAATCCAAAGTGGTACCACTTTTAATAAGAGATGTTAAAGATTTGCAAAACAAATAAATAAATTAGAAGCATAAAATGTAATTTTGGGTGGGTAGCTGGAAGGTTTCTTGCTGAAAAAGCAGGGCAGGCTAAAAATGCTAATACCGCCAATCCCAAGAGACAGCAAGGTTGAGTTTTGTGCCCAAGGGACTCCATTCAAAATGGGCTATCGATAAATTGTGCCCCTTGATGCATTTCATGACCGGGCCAGACCTAGTTGCCCAATTGTATTTGAAAATCATGACCATACCAAGCAAATGCAGGCAAATTCCAGCTCCCCCCTGCTGCAGCATTGGCTTTCAAAATGGCAAACCCGCCTCCTAAAACAGCACAAAATCTGATCATTAAGTCTTGAATAAACGTTTGCGGAATTAAGGCAATACTGCCCTCCAAGGACAGGAAATCTATTCTTGTATGCACTGAAAAGTTGACTTTTGCATCTCATGGAAGCTGCCGGGCTTCAGTTTGCACGTTGCACTGCTTTGAGATGAGTAGACCACTAGTCCCATCTGAAGTGGCCTTAATGTTACTGCTGCTGGAAGGAAAGGAACAGTTGGCATTTCCTATGAAAAATCCTGTCCTTTCATTTCCCTAGCAGGTTGTGCACTAAGGAGGAGCTTGCTGCTTCAGAACTTACTTCATCCGCCACACAAAGACTCAGCTATGTTTCTGGGCTTTAAAAAAATAATAAGTTTGACCATCTTGACACACAATTTCAGAGTCATCCCAGGGGTTTGCCTGCCTACCACTTTATAATTTCTCGAGAAGTGTAGCAAATTCAAAATCTGTGTTAAAAGAGAGCTAACTACCAGCACTTGCCTTCTGAAAGAGGATTTGAGACCTTTCAGAACGCGAGCTTTGGCAGGCTGGAATGTCTGCGATAAAACTGCTGGATTTTCAAAAAACCTAAGAGAGGTATTCTTGTATGCAACCGCAGCGGCTCGTATACTTGTGGCCAAGGGATGGAAAGATCACGAGGCTCCCAAAATAACAGATTGGCAAATCAAATTACAGGAATTGGTGGAGACGGCTCAATTGACTAGTAAACTCAGAGGAAACTCCAAGCAAAAATTTGCGGAAAAATGGGATGGTTATAGATATGTTCAAAAATACAATAATAGTTTTGACTCTGTGCTAGCATTCGAGTGATAAAGGAACTAAAAGGAGGTGGACTACAATTAAGGATTTATTATGTTTTCAGAATGTATTAGAAAAATTACATAGAAAGGTTTATTGTTTTGTGTACATTCAAATGTAAGATAAAATATATGCAAAGGGACTTGACAGGAAGTCAAAGTTGAAGAAAAGATTTTGGAAGATAAAAGGGGGGAAAATATTTACTTTCATTATTATCATTTTTTGTGCGGGTGTGGGTGTGTGGGTGTCTGCACATATGTGTGTTGTTGTATGCAATGTTTGGGAGGATATAAGACAGTAAATAACAAATAAACTAAATATTGATGTATGTAATTCTTATTTCTTAATTATATTTAGTGGTAGTATGGCTGTATTGTTTTTTGTAACATAAAATCATTCAATAAAAATTATTTTTTTAAAAAATTGCTGGATTGTCATGTATGCAATATGTGACAAGTCCCCCTTTTGCTGCACTTGTTCAGGCAAGTTGTTTTTCTTCCCTCAACTAGGGAATAGAAGCAGACCAGACGGACTTGCGAAGGGATATTGCCTTCAATTTATCGCTCATCTACCAGAGCAGTGGAAATATTAGAATGGCTCGGAAAATGCTGTACACGTATGGAATTGTGTGAGGTGAAAGCCGGCATCGAAAACTGATTGAATGAAATAAGATGGATTACTTTCCTTGCTTTCGAGGAACCTGGAAATACCCTGCTGTCTTTCATGGATCAGAAGCTATGTGACACCGGGCAAACCTATGCTTAAAGATTTCTCCGGATTGGCTGAACGTGAAGCAGCCAAGTAGATGGTTCAGGTTTTTACAAAGAGGATCCCTGCTATGGATTGAGCAGATCTGAGGCGTGACACTGACCCCAACCTGACAGGTGTGCTGGAACGTGCAGTGTTTTTTAACATGCAAATTGTGAACAGAGTAAGTCGCACATCTTAATAGCCAAGCACACGGAACGTGGGACATTTTGCTCAGAATGTACAATTGGGAGAGAGTACGAGTAAACGAAATGTGCTAGATAACTCACCAGCAAAAAGGCTTCTACTTCTTCAGTGGAAGATCAGCTGCCTCCTTTCAAGGATATTTAACATACATTAGTCCTTTGTGTCTGGAATACCCCATAATCGACGAACCTAGCAAAACCTTTGGATCCTTTTTCTGGGTGCCTGTTTGTCCAACAGTTCATTACTAAGGAGATTCTGATGTTACTGTGTTGTTTGTTTGCATCCATGTGAACTTGTCTGTGAAATCTAAGCATTTTCTTGCTTTTCTGAAACTGGGGAGACAGAGATGGTTTGAACGAAAGCTATACCTGCTCAACTTGAAGTAAGACCCATTGCGACTTATTTCTGAGCAGACATCTACGGGATTGTGCTGTAAGGTGCTAACTCTACCAAGCCGTGCTTGATTGCCAGTATACTGCAAAGAAGTATTGGTCTAGTTACGCTTCAGAAACACAATCAACAAGTGTATAGAAGTTTTTAATATTTGATATCTTAATGTGTTTCAGCTTATTGGAAGCTGCCCAGAGTGGCTGGGGCAACCCAGTCAGATGGGTGGCATATAAATATTTTCATTATTATTAAGGGCATCCACAACCACTCCTGTGCACAGGACTGCAGTCTTAAACTATCCCGTCACAAGCTCTTATTCCCTCTACCCTGTCATATATATATATATGCATGCAATCGTTCTTATAAATGAGTTATTGGCTGCTTGACACTAGTTTTTTAAAAATTGTGGTTCCAGAAAGGAGTTAAAAGCTTGTTTGATTAAATTTATACATTACTATATTTCCAACTGTCATTACTTATCGTATACGCAACATGTCGTCCTACAGGTGAGCTCACCTCATCTTCATGTATTACAGCTTAAAGAAGAGATTGTTCAACAGGGAGAGAAACACAGACTGTTGTAGAAAACAAGAAGTATTCTTTAATTTTTAAAGACCCCCCTACACACACACACACATTTATATATTACACGGTAGTGGTCAAAAACAAGAGGAAAGATACCAGAAGTACAGTACATTCTTGCCCATGATTTAGGGTGGCTCTGAGGCCAGTTCTGCTCAGTACCCAAGCTTCCTTTTGGAGGCCCAAGCAACTGTTCCTAGCTGTGTGAATTTGTCACCCTTCCACTTTAACGATTCTAGAATAGAGTAATCACTGTTTGCATAATATTTCATCACCAATGATATACTGGATTGTTTTGTGCCTTTGGGTTTGCCTTACCTAATAGTTAATGAGCAGAGCAAGGCACCCACAACCTCGATACTCAGGGAAGAGGATAAGGTTCAGTACATAGCAGGAATAGCCAACATAGTGCTGTTCAGATGTTTTAGGCTACAGCTCCCATTATTCCTGCCCTATCGTCCATGCCGCCTGAGGCCGATGTGGGTTCGAGCCCACCATCCTGACGACATCATATTTGCTCCCCCTGCAAGATATAGGTGCGGACCGTTATTGTCTAAGTAGTTATGTTAGAGGGAAAGCAATTTCCGCAAGCACTGCACTTTTACAACAGCAGGAGATGTGCTTGCTCAAAGCTACCCATCAAACATACAAGTCCTATCCCATGGAACATGCCAAGCTGATGAAGGGAGACATAGACATTTTGGAAACCAGCATTGGTGCATTTAAATAATCTACGACACTGCCCCGTTTTAGGATTCAGCTCTGCTATTTTTCCAAAAGTCCCCAAGGCCTCCTACAGCCTATCCTGTAGCAGTTACACCCTGTGGGCTGCTTGTGCATGTATTTGGCACAAGCTTGCCCCTCACTATGTATAGAGATGTAATTGCAGGGATTTAAAGACCCCAGGGGGAAGCATTTAGCAGGATGGGGGGGCTGTAGAAACAGTTTTTTTAATAAAACAGTTTGAAAGTTCCCCAGAGGCGTTATAAGAATCAGAAAGCTGAACCCAAAGATTTAGAGGATTCCTAGCTGCCAGTCAAGTTTGTGTGTGTGTATATATATATATATATATATACACTTTTTAAAAAGGACTTTTTCTTCATTCCTATAGAGCACAGCTAGTTCACACAGGAGCTCTTCCTCTGCTAGCTTCAGGAAGTAGATGGATGCTCACATAATAGGTCCAGCCTTAGGCTCTGCCTAGGTATAGCATCACCGGCAGCCTGAGAAGTGGTGTTCACAGGTACAGGGTTATACCTTGCAGCCTGGAACCTCCTGGCAAAGCAGCCCTTCACTTGTTCAGCTCACTTAGATATTTCCTCTTGATGAACTGCAGGTGGTTCTTGGTCTCCCAGCGCTTCAGGCATGCCTGGGAAGGAAGCCTGGTCGGCCTTTCCTGTTGACACATAGGATGCTTAGTCAGAGCTGCAAGTAACTCACAGAACGTGCAAGAGAAAATATTAATGTAATAATAATAATAATAATAATAATAATAATAATAATAATAATAATAAAAAATTTATTTATATCCCGCCCTCCCCAGCCGAAGCTGGGCTCAGGGTGGCTAACAACAATAAAATTGTACAACATTCTAAAATCATTTCATTATAAAATTAATTCAACTCAAAATGATGGCAACCATTGGGCTAGAGTTCTGTGAGGATTACAGAAGGAGGGGGTCAGACTGTGCCTTGGCCAAAGGCCTGGTGGAACAGCTCTGTCTTGCAGGCCCTGCGGAAAGATGTCAAGTCCCGCAGGGCCCTGGTCTCTTGTGACAGAGTGTTCCACCAGATTGGGGCCACAGCTGAAAAAGCCCTGGCTCTGGTTGAGGCCAGCCTAACCTCTCTGTGGCCTGGGACCTTCAAGATGTTTTTGTTTGAAGACCGTAAGTTCCTCTGTGGGACATACCAGGAGAGGCGGTCCCGCAGGTACGAGGGTAAGGTGAGCAGATCAGTCTTTTGGATTGATAGGGCCAGGACGTAACTCTTGGCTAAGCCTAAAACACACACAAACCTCTAAGATCCACTAATCTAGTAAGCGGACACCATCTATCAGAGGGAAGTCAGTCCAGCAATAAATATCTGCAGCAGCCAGATAATCTGTTAAGTTCAGAACAGAGGTGAGTTTTCAGTGAGGGACTGTCTCTCGTGGAGGATGAAGGCTGAAGGGTTTGAGGAAGAAAGCTGATAAAAGCTTCAACATCTACAATCCTTTCCATTTGTTATGATTATTCTTCCAATTAAGGTACCAGCTTCCTTCCTCATGGAAGCCTCTATGCCTCTGGAAGGCACATGAAATGAAGGACATTGGCAGCCCACCTCAAAATTTAAGAATAAAAATCACCTGTTGGATTTCTTCACCCAGACAGCTCGTATAACAAGAAGAGGAGGAGGAGTTTGGATTTGATACCTCGCCTTTCACTCCCCTTAAGGAGTCTCAAAGCGGCTAACACACTCCTTTCCCTTCCTCCCCCACAACAAACACTCTGTGAGGTGAGTGGGGCTGAGAGACTTCAAAGAAGTATGACTGGCCCAAGGTCACCCAGCAGCTGCATGCGGAGGAGCAGGGAAGCGAACCCGGTTCACCAGATTACAAGACTACCGCTCTTAACCACACCACCACACATGAAAAGGGCTCTCTCTCTCATGAATTCTTCACACTGCCATTTTAAAAACGAACAAATCTTGAGGTCTCTTGGCACAGGCATAAAGATTGATTGCAACCATCTTCATAGCGCATAAAACTGAATTTTTACAGGCACTCCCAGTATAGTACTACTCTCAGCAGCAGCAGCACAAACAAGGGAACAAACCATTAGCGAGCCTGTGTCATGACACCTTTTTTGTTTGCAGAAGGTATTCCCTTACTGACCTCTTTCTCATGCTCCTCACAGAAGTATTCTCCAAGGTTCTTCTGCCTGTTTTTCACCAGTTCACGCTGCAGACTATCGAACTTAGACTTGAACCAGTGGTGAGCTTCCTCAAGGTTAGCAGTTATCTGCAGCAGGGAAGGCATTCAAACTCAGTTACATTCCAACCTCATGGTGCAGGGATCCTTTGACACAAATCACCTTGTCAAAAGGTTTTACATCTTTGAATGTCTTTCTGTAAAGACTAATCCATCAGGTTAATTCATCATGAGGTGCCTTCCTTGTTCCCAGTCATCAGTACAAGTCTGATAAGGATCAGACGCATATCGTACTCCCCAAAGCAGGATCAGATCCCGTTTTGTATTATTGTTATATAAAGAAAATAAATGCTTATCTTTTAAGGACCCCTCTTACTGTACCTACAAAGCTCGGCCTCTTAAATGTCTTGCTTGCAACTTAATTAACAAAACAATAATATTATCATTTATGACAGCAAGACCATTAAATAGGTCTTGTGAAAATCAGAGTGCACATTTGTGGACACATTACAATGTTAGCACTCAAATGCGTAACTAATATTTTGTAATGTTAAGGTTAGGCATGACTGGGTAAAGTGAGTATAGTTGTATGTAGAGTAGCCTAGAATACGGGAAATTGTGCACCCATCCTTTGCACAGTAAGGATTTAACTGCAGTGCTGTAATCGGAGGCATAGCTCTTAGGAATGTGTCACCTCCAGCTGATTTGCAACAACATTCATACAAGTGTGTGTATATTTCATGTGAATTCCCCTTGCATGCTCAGAAGTCTCTACAGCTATCATATTGAACTCTCTTTTTCTTTGATACGGTTACACCTCTCACTGCTCAGCTGCGATACTGTCATGTTATACTGACATGGCAATCCCTCTCCCTCTCTGCTTCGATACTTACATGTTCTGACTCTTTGCTGGCTTCTTTCAGTTTCTGTTCAGTCTCCTCTTTGCATTTCTTCAAGTGCCTGACTGTGTCTTCCAAAGCCTTGAATGTTACGGAAAAGTCAGAATGAAATCATTTGCCATTCTTCTGCAGAGCAGTTTGCTCTTAGGTCTAGATTCTTAACTGATGCCCCACACCCAACCTGGAAAACAGAAGCTCACTTCTATGGACCTCTTTGCTATGGGCTTCTTAACGATGTACAGAGCTAGGGGCTGGGGAAGAGAGCCGATGATGGAGGCCTGAGCAGCTGCTGCCATGGAGACAAATGCCAAAGTGTGCTCAGCACCCACAAAGCAACTTCTGACATGAGCGCGGGACTGGCTGCAGCCCCGCGCGATCAGGGGAATCCTCAGGCCGCATCAGCACCAGAGCCAGCCAATCAGATCTCCCCTTTTCATTCCAACTGCAGATTCGGTTTCCCACCCACCCACCCACCCTTTAGGTTTTCCTTCTGACCACCTTGCTATGGACTTCGGTTTGTCGCCGTTAAGGGGCCTGGTCGGAATTTTTTCCACTTGGAGAATTGGCACTGGCCATTTGGTTTTTTTCGCCTACCTCGTAGCAAATCGTCACAACATCTCTTAGTTATGGCGGTTAGGCATTGGTAGGGGTATTATTATGTAGATGTGTTCGGGGGAGGAGCGCCATCACCTCTCCCAAATATTTAAGGGTAATCCGGTAAAGGATTCCGGGGGGCGTTGCCTCATCGGAAACCTATGGAGGCCAGGGCCTAAAGCACGCCCCCTAGCGGTGACCCCTGGGGGAGTTCCTAGTGATGTGCATCCCAGGGCTCCCCCTTTCCAGTTTTCATGCTAACAGGCTGAAGCCGGATAGTCTGATAGGACCAGTGCCTAAGCTAATACCGCTCTTACCTGTAACCAATAAAGTTGTGGCCTATTTTTGCCATTGACCTTAATCAATGGTGTCCCGTGTCTTTATTTATTCCAACTGGGGGGAGGCGGGAATCGCCACGCAACCCTTTAGCTGGGTGGGGCCATGGCGCCATTACCTGACACTCTTCCTGAATCCGCTGCCTTTGCTTCTGTTCTGCGACCAGCTGGTTCTCAAGGTTTCTGTTTTCCGTTTCCATCGCTTGCTGATTCCTGGCTAGCTGCTGCATCTCACCTTGCAGGGTTGTCAACTCAGCGACAAATTCTTTGATCCTAAGGGACTACGGCATGAAAAGAAATCAGATCCCATTATCAGACAGACTAAGTTGCGAGATTAATAGTCAGAGGGGGAGGTGAGCCATTGCTTTGTTATCATGTTTGGATTGTGTGTTTGATTTGGCAAACCCTCCCCTGGAAGGACTGATTTATGGTGCAACTGGTCTGGGAAAATTAATGAGCAGACGCTTAGACTTTATTATATCGAAAAAGACTAAAATGGCGCCTGCCGCCCGAGCAGGACTTTTGGATCAGCGTGTGGTGATTTAAGGAGAGCCTTACAAAGTTCACACAGAAATATAATGATGTTTGGTTTAACTCGCCTGCGGAAACAACTCAGAGGTTATTAAGAAGAAAAAGGATAACAACAAGAAGACTGGAAGATGGGATTTGTGAACATCAAAAGCAGCAGAAATATGAGATGATTGGACCCTCACTGAACTCGAAACATGGGAACCCCCAACAAAATTTAAAATTCGGCAAAATATTTGGACTTTATAATATGTATTGGTATAATTTGGAATAATTAATGTGATATGATTGGATTGTTAATAAAAATTATTAAAAAAGAAAAGAAATCAGATCCCGTGACCCCATGCACGCGTTTCAATCTGGTCTTCACTCCCATTTCCTACACGGAAAAGAGATTCTACCTGCTCGTGGTTTTTCTTCTGGTACTGCTGCTTCATCTCCTCCATTTGCCTCAATTCCGTTTCAATCTCCTGGAAATAAATCACAAAAGCGAATAGAGGAACGTCCCGAGAAAACGCCTTGCTTCCGTGACAGAATGCAGTTATTATTAAGCGGCGCCTGCCTCTCTCCTGAAGTTTTGTTCTAATGCAATTCAGTAACAGGAAGTACAGTGGTACCTCGGGTGACAGATGCTTCAGGTTACAGACACTTCAGGTTACAGCCTCCACTAACCCAGAAATAGTATCTCAGGTTAAGAACTTTGCTTCAGGATGAGAACAGAAATTGCGCGGCGGCAGCAGGAGGCCCCATTAGCTAAAGTGGTGCTTCAGGTTAAGAACAGTTTCAGGTTAAGAACAGACCTCCAGAACGAATTAAGTTCTTAACCCGAGGTACCACTGTATGGTTAAATCTCACTGGATTGTGCCCACAAATAGTAAGCCAAGGAGGGAGAGGCTATAGCACTGACATCCAAAATAAAGCAATGTTGCACAGCTGTCGTCTTGCTTCCCCTTGGACATAAAAAGTGGGACAGGGTGTTGGGCAGCAAAATGGGCTATGAAGCAAAGGCAGATCATGGGGACAGTCAACTAAAGGCCCAGGAATTTTAAGCGCTAGCATTGATGGACCTAAGCAAATTCCTTGTTGCACCTAGGGCTGGGCAATATCTGGTTTTCAGCTTCGTGATATATCACCAGCTAAACATTGCGATATACAGTGGTACCTCAGGTTAAGTACCGTACTTAATTCGTTCTGGAGGTCCGTACTTAACCTGAAACTGTTCTTAACCTGAAGCACCACTTTAGCTAATGGGGCCTCCTGCTGCCACCGCACCGCTAGAGCACAATTTCTGTTCTCATCCTGAAGCAAAGTTCTTAACCTGAAGCACTATTTCTGGGTTAGCGGAGTCTGTAACCTGAAGCGTATGTAACCTGAGGTACCACTGTACTGATATATCACAACATGTGAAATAAGGATGGAACTATCTAGAGGCATTGGCTGACTTCACAGTTTTTCCCACATCGCGATTTTTGCAAAACACACACATACATCTTGATTTGAAATACATTGCCAGGTCAAAAATTATGAAATCAGTATCATGATATGGACTTCAAACTGGTTTGGGGCGATATATCAATATGGCATCCATCCCTAGATGCAACTTATCCTTAAATTTTCCTACTCCCTCAAAATCATTTGATAAGTCGTACCTGGTGAGAAAAGCAGGTAACAGTGCTCTGCAGTAATGAGAGTAATGATGATCCATGTTTTATTACAGTGGTACCTTGGTTTACAACAGTAATCCGTTCCAGAGGTCCGTTTGTAAACCAAAACAGGTTGTAACCCAAGGCGCACTTTCGCCAATGGGGCCTCCCCCCCCCCAAAATAATAATTGTTTGTCATCCAAAAAAAGGTTGCAAACCACAGACTTCCGGGTTGGCGCGATCCGGGAATGGCGGATTCCCTCCGAGCTCCGGAGGGAATCGGCTCAGCGGTGGATGGGTCTTTGCCGTGCCGGCGACACGGGGACCCTTAAAAACCGCAGGTGCAGATGCCTGCGGACTGAAGACTCGGCGGGTGCCTTAAGCGCCCCCCCTGATTCGCGAAGAGCCTTTTTAAAGGCTATGGAGGGGATACGGGGGACGGCGCGGCACTGAGAGTCGATCGCTACCGCCGCTGAGCGAAGCCGCGAGCCATAACCGGAGAGCGCTGACTTCCTTCCTTGAAATTTGGATTGAAAAAAGAACCCGTGAGTAATTTGGAACTGAGCTTTAAAAACTTTTACCTTTTGAATTTGAGACGACCGGGGGGTGTGCCAAAAGGAAGTCCCCATCCCCCCCCTTGCAGACGATCCAGAGCAACGATATAAGAACTAAGCTGGAGTGCCCACCCTGTAAAGGGTGAGTTTTAAAAAAGACAGTAACTTCCAAGATTTGGAAAAGCAAATTTAAGCAGGAGAGTGGAGTGTTGGAAGAGTCTTTGTTTTGTGGTAAACAACCCTCCCTCCCGAGCCCGGGAGCGATCTGCTTTGGAGCCTGTATAGAGGAGTAGAATTTGACAGCTGTCAAAGCTGTCAAATGGACTGTTAATACTGAAAAAATTGCTACTTAAGACCTCTCCGGATAAAAAGGAGTTACAATTGAACTAAAATTTTGGGAAACAAAGAAACAATAATAGGACAGAGGATTGTTGGAGAAAAGACCATCCAGTAACCAGATTCCCTCTAGGGGGAATTCTGTGGAATTACAATGGCTGTGGGTGGAAAGATACTGAGAGAAATCGAAAGGATGTTTTCACTGGTGGGAACTTTACAGGAGCAGACTACAGTTATGAGTAAACAATTGACGGCCTTGGATTTGGAAACAAGTAGCTCTGCTGAATGTAATGAGGACTTGAATGAGAAAGAACCCACAGCTGAATTTGAAATAATAAACAAAGAAGAGGAGAAGACAAAACAAGAAAGAGAACAAGTTATGTGGGAAAATACTAACCAGAAGCCGATATTTGGAGAATACAAACAAGGAGACCATTGGATGGAATCTATTCCAAGTCTACGAAAGATACAGAAGATGAAAGTGGAGGCCCTGGGAGTTTATGGATCTCAGGAACTCGAAATAAAGAAGTACAATTGGGGCCTCCACATAGACTTTGATTTTGACCATCACCAAGACTCAGGCCTTGTGGAAATTCCTCAGCAGTTGCTTACAAATATGGGAAGAGATTATGGAATGATTGGATTGAATGTTAATGAAATCTTTCGAGACTCGATGACTGACAAAGAGGACTACCAACAAAACCGGCGGAGAGGGACTGAAATAGATTTGAGAGCCTCGGATGTGCGGAATCCAGGCTAAAAACTGTTATTTTGGACATGTCTTGGGAAAGGACGCAAAGCGGGGATGGGAGGGAGGGAAGCATAAACTTAAATAACACTCAAGACCAGGGGTTTAGTAATAAGGAAATTACTCAAGAAAAAATGAGAAATCGAGGGAAGAGAATTGGGGTCTAACTTAGGGAAAACTTATTTTTTATTTCTATAAAAGGACTAATATTAAGAAGGAAGAAATGCTAACTTGCTGACATAAACCTGGGAACAGGGATGCAAGGGAGGGGGTGGGGGGAAGTCAAGGACTAGGGTTAGAAAATAAGATTTTTGGAACTATTCATGTTTGCTGTTGTTTTTTTTTTTATGTTTGTTTTGGTGTGATGTGTTTTGTTTTTGTCTATATAAAATGTGAAAACCCAATAAAATTATTAAAAAAAAAAAAAACAAAACAAAAAAAGGTTGCAAACCAGGACACACACTTCCGGGTTTGACGTGTTTGTCATCCAAAACGTATGCAAACCAAGGTACCACTGTACTTAATACTTTTAATGCAGCAATTTCTAAAAATCCAGCCACAATTGCCTATCAAACCTGCTTCTATGGCTGTGGAGTGCACACGTTTTGCCTGTTTCCAAACAGCATATATAACTGAAAAAGCCAAACTCCTACCTCCCCAGCACTGATCCAATAGAAGAGACTGACTTACCAGCTTTTATCTGTGCTGAAAATGCAAAGGAAACTTAAGAGATTACATATCAATGCAATTTAGCACTGTATAGCGCTAATCTACTTCTGCAAGAGCCAGTTGGTTTGCAGCTGCAATAGAAACTCAGCCAAGGGGAACGCAATGAAGTCTCCTTTGAAGTCTCCAATCTATCTGGTATCAGGTTGATACTGAGAGGGCAACTTTCAAAATGGTAGATTGCAGGATGTGTTAAAATCATTTGCATGAAACACCCACACCCACACCGGCTCACCTTTATCCTTCCTGCATTTTGCGCATTGTTAGTCCTGGCATTGAAGTACTGCGTGATTAACGCTTTCTGTCTCTTCAGCTTCTCCTTCTGACTGGCCAGCGCTGCCTCCTGCTCTGCGACTTTTGCCCGCAGTTCCCTGTTAAGGCGGGACATTTCTCCAGATTTAGTGCAGGCCTCCTCCAGGGCTTTCTTCAGCTACAGGGCACCAAGAAAGGGCAAGTTCATGCTCACTTCAAGAAGAAGAAAAAAGGGTGCTCAACACTCACTTCTAAACGACTCTTCTGCTCCCATCACCCCAAGAGCTTTCCAGGTCTTGGTTTCCTATCCTGAAGGCAATTTGTCCAGGGCTTACTGGTGGAAAGGGGGAATATTTTCAGTCCAGGGGCCACAGGAGTAGGACCAGAAGCAAACATGGGTGTGGCCAGAGGAGGCGGGACTTGGGTGAAGAGGTGTTGCCCAGGGAGAGTCGCCAGACCAGGTGGGCGGGGCTTGGACAGCCATATTTGATACATGGGTCTCAGGTTCCTCACCCCTGCTCTAGGGCTATTATTATTTCTTGAGAGTAAGACACGTCCCTGGTTAAAACTCTGCGTAAGCTGAATCAGGGCTTCCCAAACTTTGGTCTCCAGCTGTTTTTGAACTCCCATAATCCCTAGCTAGCAGGACCAGTGGTCAGGGATGATGGGAATTGTAGTCCAAAACCATCTGGAGACCCAAGTTTGGGGAACCCTGAGCTAGATGGACAAAAAGTCTGACCTAGTCTCAAGCTGCTATCTATGCCCCCGTGATTTTAGCCAGCTGCAGCCTCATGAAAATTCACAGGGGCGCATATATCCATGGTGCCAAAAGGAATTGAAATGTGATGTCTGCCATCTGAACCTTGGTTGACACCTTTAGGTCAGCTCTGAATGAAAAAGCCACCCCAGGGAAAGAACACACATTTTATCTTCCTCTATAAAGGTAAAGGGATCCCTGACCATTAGGTCCAGTTGCAAATGACTCTGGGGTTATGGCGCTCATCTCGCTCTATAGGCCGAGGGAGACAGCATTTGTCCACAGACAGCTTCCGGGTCATGTGGCCAGAATGACTAAGCCGCTTCTGGCGAACCAGAGCAGCGCACGGAAACACCGTTTGCCTTCCCGCCGGAGCGGTACCTATTTATCTACTTGCACTGGTGTGCTTTCGAACTGCTAGGTTGACAGGAGCAGGGACCGAGCAACGGGAGCTCACCCTGTCGCGGGGATTCGAACTGCCGACCTTCCGATCGGCAAGTCCTAGGCTCTGTGGTTTAACACACAGCGCCATCCGCATCCCATCTTCCTCTATAGACCCCCACAAAACCTAGAAAATAAAATAACTGGCTGTTAAGTCGGGGGGGGGGCATTGCTTCTAATCATAGCGCTCTTTGCTTCCCTAGGAGCAGTTTCCATCCAAACATTTTGCTCATGGTTTGTTTAAGCAGTGGGTTGCTTTACAAACCATGAATTAACCTTGAGCTGTCTCACAAAAATTCCAACAAACAGCTTACTTCTCCAACTTTGTTCTGTTTTCCACCTGCTCTTTCATCACGTCTTAAGAGGCAATGCTGGGTTCTCACAATTCCAAGCCACAGTTCAAACAAGCCATGGTTAGTAAGCCAACAGCAAACCGTGGCTTCGAATTATTATTTTGTTGACAGTAAACAAACCAGTTATGTGTGAATACTGCCCAGCAGCCATGATTTAACAAATGCTCAGCCACAGCTTAAGAAACAACAATTTAGCATTATGTGCAAACTAGGCTTAAAGGACGTTAGCAAAAGGGGAAAGGAAAACCAGGAACATGGCACTTACGCTGAAATTAACTTCTTATAGTAATTGGACTCAGCTAAGCACATTTATTTATTGAGAGTTGGAAACTCTTATATATGGGAAAATATTCAGTTTATGGGTAGGATAAAAGCTTTTCATTTCTTTAATATAAAGAAAATGCATTCTACAGTGGTGCCCCGCAAGACGAATGCCTCGCAAGACGGAAAACCCGCTAGACGAAAGGGTTTTCCGTTTGCAATGCGCTTCGCAAAACGAATTCCCCTATGGGCTTGCTTCGCAAGACGAAAACGTCTTGCGAGTCTCGCCATATCCCCCCCCGCTTCCCCCCCTTTTTCTAAGCCGCTAAGCCACTAATAGCCTTTTAGCAGCTTAGCCGCTAATCCTTTAATATATTAGAGTTAAAGCCATGGTTTTCCATGGCTTTAACTCTAATATATTAAAGGATTGGTTTAACTCTAATATATTAACTCTAATATATTAACTCTAATATATTTAATATATATTAGAGTTAATATAATATATATTTAACTCTAATATATTAAAGGATTAGCGTATAGTTAAAGCCATGGTTTTCCCAGTAGTGATGTATGGAAGTGAGAGCTGGGCCATAAAGAAGGCTGATTGCCGAAGAATTGATGCTTTTGAATTATGGTGCTGGAGAAGACTCTTGAGAATCCCATGGACTGCAAGAAGATCAAACGCATCCATTCTTAAGGAAATCAGCCCTGAGTGCTCACTGGAAGGACAGATCGTGAAGCTGAGGCTCCAGTACTTTGGCCACCTCATGAGAAGAGAAGACTCCCTGGAGAAGACACTGATGCTGGGAAAGATGGAGGGCACAAGGAGAAGGGGATGACAGAGGACGAGATGGTTGGACAGTGTTTTCGAGGTTACCAGCATGAGTTTGACCAAACTGCGGGAGGTAGTGGAGGACAGAGGTGCCTGGCGTGCTCTGGTCCATGGGGTCACGAAGAGTCAGACACGACTAAACGACTAAACAACAACAACAAGCCGCTAAACCGCTAATAGTGCTAATCCGCTTAGCCGCTAATGGGGTTGCTTCGCAAGATGAAAAAACCGCTAGACGAAGAGAATCGCGGAACGGATTCTTTTCGTCTTGCGAGGCACCACTGTATTTCCTTCCTGGCATGTTTGTATTTTGTAAAAAATAAATAAAGGGAGAATGAAAGGAAGAACAATTCTAGGAGAATTAGAAAGCAAACACACAAAGAAAACCATCAATTTGGGTAAGAAGGTGGAAAGAAGAGTGAAGGGAGAGGTACAACATATCAAGAGAGTATCAAAGGTTGAATGTGAGGGTGGGGAGAATGATCTATGATTTAAAGTTGGTTTGGTTGGAAGCCATCAACCATAGTTTTCCAGGTTCATACGTAACAGGAAGCAATGGCAAAATGCTGAATCCTGGCTTGTTCAGCTACTTGCCCAAAGGGAGCCCGTGCATATCCTGGCTTATGAAGCCAGGATTTTCACCTTAGCATTTACGTGCAACCGTGACCACCGAGAAAAACTCAAAACTCTTCCACCTCCTCACACCTCAGCCGATTCCTTTTGAGCAGCCTTCTTGGTTACTTCCCGCTCATTCTGAAACTGTTTCTTCAGAGTCTCAAGGCGATCTGCGTACAACTTTACTTCCAACTTGGTTTCCTCAATTAACTGGTCCCTTTAGTAAGGCAGAGGGAAATAGATTAACAGGAGGTCGCTCACTTTTTCAGGAAAGTAAAGTCTGAAAACATGCAGCACTGATGCTTCCCAAATATAATAATAATAATAATAATAATAATAATAATAATAATTTTTATTTATACCCCACCCTTCCCAGTTCAAAAACTGGGCTCAGGGCAGCTAACAACAAATTTAAAACACTTAATTATAAAAGCAGCATAAAATACAGTATAAAAACATGAATGACAAAAAAAATAAAAATCAATTAGATAATCCCCAGGGCTAGCTGGCTGAATTGCTCCTACTTGGGCCAGCGAGGAGGCCAGGGGAGAATTAGCTGTGGGGTCTCAGAGTGGGTGGATCTTCATAAAAGGGGAGGGGGAGGGAAGAGAAAGGAAATAAAAGATCAGGCTGAATTCAAATTAAAGGCCAGGCGGAATAGCTCTGTCTTACTGGCCAGACGGAATCCTTTTTCTTCCCTTTGCAATTCATTCCCCATCGAGACTCTGGGTTCCCCAGACAAATTTCAAAGCTGCAGACCCCCTCTGCACATTTAGGGCCCTGCCTTGCCAAGTTGATGGCTCAGCAGGTAACAAGTTTCTACTGCCTCAAAAGTCAGATCCGGACTTCAGCTGTTCAGACTGGAAAGGCAAAATCTCCTGCCTATCTAAGTCTTACCTGCATTCCATTAGTTCCTGGCACTCGGCTTCTTTGCTTTCCAGTTCATCTCGAATAAGCATAAGCTTGCTTTGCAGAGCACTGTTGGTTTGCAGAGTTTGCTCTAAATTTTGGGCAAGTTTCTTGTTGTCTGCTTTGGAGGCCTCCAGAATTTTACAAAGAGCTTCCATCTTTTAGGGGGAGAAAAGCACAGGGTAGCAATGATTCTCTTCATGAAACATACAGTTGTGAAACAACAATTTTATTCCGATGATTAAACAACTTATGCAGCTGTTGCTATGAATCTTAATCTGGGAATGGCTTCATGGATGGGGGGAAAACCCAGTAAAATGAACAGTCAGTTGCCAAATATACATTATGCTCAAACTAATTACACCAATTATTTACGGACAAATGAACTTTGTTCCTGCTATGAAGGATACGATCCTTCCAGACAGGCCACCCACGCTGAATGTATTGCTGGTTTTAGTCTATTATAGCCACTGGAAGATGCTGATTTTTACCTTAAAGCTGTGTTGAGATTGCAAGGTCATTTTGCTGTGGCATTCCTCCAGCTCTGCCTCTAGCATCAGAATTCTTTGCTGGCTTTGGGTCCTGCAAAAAAAGCAAAGAGACGATGCAAGAGAGAACAAACAAAGGCAAAGGGCGATAGGGAAGCTTCCTCCATGTTTTCTTCCATCAAAAAAGAGCCTCAACTATGATTGAATTAATTCCACTCTGCTCTTGAGGCACACACAGTTGAAAGACTCCTTGAATATTCTCAGACAATGGTTTGGTTTGCACATAATGCTAAGCCGTGGTTTGCTCAGCAAACCACATTTTAACCACAAGTTGTCTCACAAACGATCCAACCATAGCTTGTTTCTTCAAAGTTTGCATTGTTTTCCAGCTGCGCCTTCCTCATGCCTTTGTAGTTTGCCAAGCTTCCGAGGTGGGGAGACACACCAAAGGCTAGGACTAACGCCGTAACACCAAGCCGTGGTTAAAGCAAACCATGGTTCATACATCAGCAACACACCATGGCATCAGACTGTGGTTTCATGGTGCTGAACAAACATGTTAGGCTGCTGGGCAGGGTTGACACACAGCACTAGGTTATCGTTTAATAAATTGTCATTTAGATAAGCAATAGAGGGACACGGGTGGCGCTGTGGGTTAAACCACAGAGCCTAGGACTTGCCGATCAGAAGGTTGGCAGTTCGAATCCCTGCAACGGGGTGAGCTCCCGTTGCTCGGTCCCTGCTCCTGCCAACCTAGCAGCTCAAAAGCATGTAAAAGTGCAAGTAGATAAATAGGTACCGCTCCAGCGGGAAGGTAAACGGCGTTTCCATGCGCTGCTCTGGTTCGCCAGAAGCAGCTTAGTCATGCTGGCCACATGACCCGGAAGCTGTATGCCGGCTCCCTTGGCCAATAAAGCGAGATGAGTGCCGCAACCCCAGAGTCGGTCACGACTGGACCTAATGGTCTGGAGTCCCTTTACCTTTACTAGACAAGCAATGGCTTGTACTGTTTTGCTTCCAAAGCAAATACTTCTCATTTTACATAAAGCATCCAAATTAATTACTCCTGGTTTTTCCAATGGCATCAGTACAAACAGCATTCAAGTTAACTGCTCCACCTTTTCCTTTTCCTTCCTTTTCTTTTTTTCAAACGTATTGAGAGACCCCCTTCCAGGTCCCTTGTCTTTCTTCCATTCATTTTCAGCCTAGTCAATGGTTATCATCATTCCCTCATTTGATCTTGATCTATCTGAAGTTAAGTACCTCTCTCACAATTCCTACCCACTCTGCAGCCAGTTTCTTATTTTTTAAATGGAGACCATAAATCACACAGTGTTTCAGGGAAGACCATTCGTAAAAAAGAAGATAGTTTGAAATGATCCCCCCCAAAATGATTCCTTATATTATTGTCTGCAATTATCATCTCCCCCCTTATATTATCCAACTCAGGTTTTTTTAAAAGTTCCCGCTAAATGTGTGTTTTGCTTTAAGCTTTGTTCCACCATGTAGAAGAAGAAGAAGAAGAAGAAGAAGAAGAAGAAGAAGAAGAAGAAGAAGAGAGGAGTCTGGATTTGATATCCCGCTTTATCACTACCCAAAGGAGTCTCAAAGCAGCTAACATTCTCCTTTCCCTTCCTCCCCCACAACAAACACTCTGTGAGGTGAGTGGGGCTGAGAGACTTCAAAGAAGTGTGACTAGCCCAAGGTCACCCAGCAGCTGCATGTGGAGGAGCGGAGACGCGAACCCGGTTCACCAGATTACAAGTCTACCTCTCTTAACCACTACACCACACTGGCTCTCTCTGTACCTGGAATGCCATACAAAGCAGGCAGCCAAGTTACCTGTCCTTCTTCAGCTCAGCCACCTCAGAATCCTTGCGTCCCAGCTCAGTCTGAACCTTCTCCAGAGCCACCTGCATTTTGTTATGAGAGCCCAACACATTCTCCAACATAGCTGTCACTTTGGCATTGTCTTCCTTCGACTCTTCCAGCTTGCGTCGCAGATTCGTCATCTGAAGTACGAAAGGGGAATGCGAAAGAGCAGGGGGTCTCAATCACGATTACTTGGGATGGTATTGGGTCACAAGCGACAGCAGAGGGCCTGCTTTGTTTGCTGAAGGTCCCAGGTTCCGCTCCTGACATTTCCACTTCAAGGATATATCAGGTAACCCTGGCAAGACCTTTGAAACACTGGAGGCCAAACCCTGCCAGACAAATATAGGGTACGCAAGATGGACCAGTGGTGTGATTCTGTATAAATGCAGCTTTGTGTGCTCAGCAAACTACACCTTTACAGTCGTACCTTGGATCCCAAACGCCTTGCGAGTCAAACGTTTTGGCTCCCGAACGCCGCAAACCTGGAAGTGAGCGTTCCAGTTTGCGAATGTTCTTTGGAACCCAAACGTCTGACGCGGCTTCCGATTGGCTGCAGGAGCTTCCTGCAGCCAATCAGAAGCCGCAATTTGAAAGTTGAACGTTCCGGAAGTCGAACGGACTTCCGGAACGGATTCTGTTCGACTTCTGAGGGACCAGTGTACTTTGGGCTCTGAGAACGTCACCTCAATCTCCTTCACCCCTGATAAGAAGCATTTATAAAATGCCTTTTCCTGAAAATTGAACTGTAGTGCACAGCCAAAATCAATGGGAATGAGATTGGCAGCTGTGTGCTGTCTGTTTGTCAAATGTTTGCATGGGTAAACATACAAATTGGTCAGATTTTCTCCTCCTTCCCCCCGTTTTATACAGAGACATTTAATTTTTAAAAACTGGATGAGACTTATATCCCATTCTTCCTTCAAGAAGCTCCACCACGCTTGCACAAAGTTTGCCAAGGTATTCTCCCACCCAGGCACCAAAAAGGAGACCTACTTGGTTTTAACAACATTGACAGCACCGCTTCCCCTCAAATTATTGTTTGTGCTCCCAATTTGATACCTTGGTACCTCGCAGACCAATATGAAAAACAAAAATCAGGCCTCAACGGCTGATTCATTTCATTCATTCATTCCAGAGATTTCTAGCCTGCCTTTCAAGACATACGTTTTCCAAAGGCAGCTCACAACAAATATAAAACAATTTCCAAACAGCAAACACCAATATCTAAACTATTAAAAACATTTTTTTTCCTAAATAGCAAGCATCAATATCTAAACTACAGTAGTACCTCAGGTTACAAACACCTTGGGTTACAAACACTTCAGGTTACAGACTCTGCTAACCCAAAAGTAGTACCTCGGGTTAAGAACTTTACCTCAGGATGAGAACAGAAATTGTGTGCCAGCGGCACAGCGGGAGGCTCCATTAGCTAAAGTGGTACCTCAGGTTAAGAATGGTTTCAGGGTAAGAACGGACCTCCGGAACGAATTAAGTTCGTAACCAGAAGTAAGGTAAAGGTAAAGGGACCCCTGACCATTAGGTCCAGTCGTGACTGACTCTGGGGTTGCGGCGCTCATCTCGCTTTATTGGCCGAGGGAGCCGGCGTACAGCTTCCGGGTCATGTGGCCAGCATGACTAAGCCGCTTCTGGGGAACCAGAGCAGTGCACGGAAATGCCGTTTACCTTCCTGCCAGAGTATCTACTTGTACTTTGACGTGCTTTCAAACTGCTAGGTTGGCAGGAGCAGGGACCGAGCAACGGGAGCTCACCCCGTCACGGGGATTCGAACCGCCAACCTTCTGATCGGCAAGCCCTAGGCTCTGTGGTTTAACCCACAACGCCACCCGTGTCCTGTAACCAGAAGTACCACTGTATTAAAAACTAACACAACAGCATCAATGAGACCAGCAAACCAATACAAGGAATGACAGAATCATAATCTGAAAAAATGATTTAAAACAAAGAGGATCGTTAATTGAAAATCCAGTCCATCTTCTCTCTAAACTGGCCCTGAATGTGATTGTTTCCTCTTACACCATGTTGATTTTTTACTTCTTAGATGGGGCCAACTCTAATAATGATTCCAATCTCTAATAATGATTCTTACTCATAAATAAGACAAGGTTTCTGTTTGGGGAATTAGCACTTGAAAGGCATCCGTATCTCAGGACAGGAGTGGCAGGTGATGTGGAGGAGAAATTTCAAAACACACATTGTGGTAGGTTTGCTGCAACGAAGTCCGGACAAAGCTAAAGCACCCAAAGAACATTTGCTACCTTGTGTTTCTCTCTCTCTTCAGTTGCACTTATTTGCCCTTTGAGCTTCTGGTTCTCTCTCAGCGCTTCATCACGGGTTTTGACGGTCACAGAAAAATCATCCTCTCTGCAGACAAGGGCAGACTGTGTCTTTTACAAAAAACAGAGGGGGAGGGGAGGAGAAATGGTTCAAAGAGTACAGAAAAGATTTTCAGAGCATTTGGGCATCCTTGTCTTTTCAGCCCTGTAGATAACCTGTTGACAGATTAGAGAACTAACCTATTGACAGATTAGAGAACTGGGCCAAAACAAACAAGATGAACCTTAAGAGGGAGAAATGTAAAGTATTGCACTTGGGCAAAAAAAATGAGAGGCACAAATACAAGATGGGGGACACCTGGCTTGAGAGCAGTACATGTGAAAAGGATCTAGGAGTCTTGGTTGACCACAAACTTGACATGAGCCAACAGTGTGACGCGGCAGCTAAAAAAGCCAATGCAATTCTGGGCTGCATCAATAGGAGTATAGCATCTAGATCAAGGGAAGTAATAGTGCCACTGTATTCTGCTCTGGTCAGACCTCGCCTGGAGTACTGTGTCCAGTTCTGGGCACCACAGTTCAAGGAGGACACTGACAAACTGGAACATGTCCAGAGGAGGGCAACCAAAATGGTCAAAGGCCTGGAAACGATGCCTTATGAGGAACGGCTAAGGGAGCTGGGCATGTTTAGCCTGGAGAAGAGGAGGTTAAGGGGTGATATGATAGCCATGTTCAAATATATAAAAGGATGTCATATAGAGGAGGGAGAAAGGTTGTTTTCTGCTGCTCCAGAGAAGCGGACACAGAGCAATGAATCCAAACTACAAGAAAGAAGATTCCACCTAAACATTAGGAAGAACTTCCTGACAGTAAGAGCTGTTCGACAGTGGAATTTGCTGCCAAGGAGTGTGGTGGAGTCTCCTTCTTTGGAGGTCTTTAAGCAGAGGCTTGACAACCATATGTCAGGAGTGCTCTGATGGTGTTTCCTGCTTGGCAGGGGGTTGGACTCGATGGCCCTTGTGGACTATTCCAACTCTATGATTCTATGATTCTATAAAAGTACAAGACAAATGGCCTGACCAGGCCCATTAAAAACACTGATAGGGCTGCCATACAACCAGTAATTTCTGAAAGGCGGCGCTTCATCCTGGATCTTAGACAAGTCAATCAAAGAATCGTGTGCCCTGGTTTTTACTTTTTGAAATACGGCAACCCTAAACACTGACCAGCCCATTCTCCTACCTGTGTGCCACGGCGTTGTAAGGGGTTTGACGAGCTATTTGCTCAGAGGTTTTCCAGTAGAAAGGTAAAGGTAAAGGACCCTCGACGGTTAAGTCCAGTCAAAGGCGACTATGGGGTTGCGGCGCTCATCTCGCTTTCAGGCCAAGGGAGCCGGCATTTGTCCACAGAGAGCTTTCCGGATCATGTGGCCAGCATGACTAAACCTCTTCTGGCACAACGGGACACCATGATGGAAAGCAGAGCGCAAGGAGACACCATTTACCTTCTTGCTGCAGTGGTACCTATTTATCTACTTGCAATGGCATGCTTTCGAACTGCTAGGTTGGCAGGAGCTGGGACAGAGCAACGGGAGCTCACCCCATCACAGGGATTCAAACCGCCGACCTTCTGATCGGCAAGCCGAAGAGGCTCGGTGGTTGACCACAGTGCCACCCACGTCCCAATTTTCCAGGACCTCCATTTCCCCAGTTCATATTAGATCTAAGGTGCACACAGTACATGGACCATCTTTTAACATACGGCCAGGTTTCTCAATTTGGATTGGACCTGGTTTGGGGAGATGGGGGGGAACCCATCCATCGAAACACAGTATTTCGTAAGTAACAATAGGATAGGTACACCACTTCCCAAACCACTGGGGACACACTGAACGCAGAGTAAACGGGAATTATGTGCACGGCCTCAGTTATTAGGTTCAGCTACATTTTATGCCTTTTATACATTTTGTACATTTATGCATTTTATACATTTAGGGACGCAGGTGGCGCTGTGGGTTAAACCACAGAGCCTAGGACTTGCCAAACAGAAGGTCGGCAGTTCGAATCCCCGCGACGAGGTGAGCTCCCGTTGCTCGGTCCCTGCTCCTGCCAACCTAGCAGTTCGAAAGCACGTCAAAGTGCAAGTAGATAAATAGGTACTGCTCTGGCGGGAAGGTAAACGGCGTTTCCGTGTGCTGCTCTGGTTCGCCAGAAGCGGCTTAGTCATGCTGGCCACATGACCCGGAAGCTGTACGCCGGCTCCCTCGGCCAATAAAGCGAGATGAGCGCCGCAGCCCCAGAGTTGGTCACGACTGGACCTAATGGTCAGAGGTCCCTTTACCTTTACCTCTCCATCTTCACCATTTTCAGGGTTGGCACTCACCCTCTGAAGATCTGTCCCCTCACTGGTTATATCCCACTCAGTTTCTAAGTCGCTGGTATCTTTTTTAGTGTCCAGCTTTTCTTTCATGGCCTTTATAGTCCTGAAGAGAACCTTCGGAGAGGCAGGGGGACAATCCCCACACTCAGAGGCAGCCTCCCTTCCGGGCAGATCTATCATGAAACGAACTCTGCGCTCAGGGGAGCACGCAGTGGAAGGTCGCCCACGAAGTCCCTTGGTCTCACAGGCCAGGCATGATCTAAAACGCTCATTGGATTTCTGCGGCCAGCAATTCTCAGATGACTTTCTTTTTTGGAGAGGCATTTTTACTATAGCACTAGCTGCCCGAACAGGGGAAACCAAGCAACTGGAGAAGGCAACGTGAGACGAAAACAAATGCCCCTAATGTCTAGTAACTTAATGGTTGGCAAGGGCTCCATTTGCAAATCCTGCCTCTCAGCCCAACGACGAGTCAATTTATAAGAGTTGTTGCGTCACTGAGGGAGTCTAAAGGAAGCCATTTTAAATCTGCACTTCTTGGTGGCTGTTTGAAGTTTAAATGCTCAACAACCCCTCCTATCCAAAGATAAATCAACATGTGTTCTCTCTGAAGTCACCAAGACATCACCCTGCTCTATTTGTGATGTCATGAGGCCTAACCTCTGAGCTCAAAGTGTGACCCAAGCAGAGTAGAACAGCCCACCAATCCGGTTTCTTCCATTTAAATTAGGGGGAGGAGTTGCACAGACCAGTAGCTGTCAACTTTTCCCTTTTCTTGCAAGGAATCCTTTTCGGAATAAGGGAATTTCCTTTTAAAAAAGGGAAGAGTTGACAGCTATGAAGTAGACCTGAATTCCACTCCTGATTCTGTGTTTTTAAAACTACCTTTATACCTAAAGTCTTTTTCGTTGTATGCTTGGGTTAGACTCCTTGAGAGCATAGATGCTCCTCTCCTCATCTTGTATCAACACCACTCACCTGATTACTTAGGACTTAACACCAATGGGGTACCTTACAATTTTCCTGGGTTGTATTAACCAAGTCCTATGTGGAGCAGACTCACTGAAATTAGTGAACTTAAGTTAGTTGTGCTCATTAGCTTCAATAGGTCTATTGTGAGTAGGACTAGCTTTTAAAATCATCCTCTGTAACTCTTACACATGGACAAGGTGTGTTTGAGCGAGTAATTTCACACCGTGTTTCGTCCTAAAATTTAACGTAAAGGTAAAGGGACCCCTGACCATTAGGTCCAGTTGTGGCTGACTCTGAGGTTGCGACGCTCATCTCGCTTTACTGGCTGAGGGAGCTGGCGTACAGCTTCCGGGTCATCTGGCCAGCATGACTAAGCCACTTCTGGCGAACCAGAGCAGCACACGGAAATGCCGTTTACCTTCCTGCCGGAGCGGTACCTATTTATCTACTTGCACTTTGACGTGCTTTCAAACTGCTAGGTTGGCAGGAGCAGGGACCGAGCAATGGGAGCTCACCCTGTCGCGGGGATTCGAACTGCCAACCTTCTGATCGGCAAGTCCTAGGCTCTGTGGTTTAACCCACAGTGCCACCCGTGTCCCAAAAATTTTACATATGCACATACATATTAACAGAACATAAGCCGAAGTGTCTCTACTTTCAGATATTGAGGTTTTCAAAATGGAGGTGAAAGGAGAGGGTGCCAGGGACCTATCACTGTCTATGTTTATTTAAATATTGTGCATGGACTGAAGATTGTGCAGACATATTGCCTTCATCCTGAGCAGCACACAGGAACTAAATGTGGGACAGCCTGCCTGGGAGTCAATTTTGTCAAATCTGCTAATCAAACGCTTTCTTTCCACTTGCTTCCCTTCAAGCCAGCACCAACCCTGAGATAATGATGATGATGACGACTACAATTTATTACCCACCACTTCGCCCTAAGGTCCCAGGGTGGATTGCAACAATTAAGACGCAACATTGCACAGTGTTTAAAAGCAGTTTTGAGATACTTAAAATTACAAAAATAGCGTGGGTCCCACAAATATGCATCTGAAGTGTTGGGGAGATAACTGTGTACACTTGAAAACATGGGCAGCATTCAGATAAATTCAACAGTGTAAATAAGTTTTGATGGAAGAAACAATGGAATACTGAATGGTTCAGTTTATGTAAAACATGCAGGGATTTATTGCTATGCAAAATGAGCCACGGAAAGAGAAGAAGGGAAGTCATTGATCTTTTAAGGTTGTCTAAATGAATATTCTAAATTCTAAATTGAAAATTTAATAAAAATTATTTTATACACATACACACACACACAGAGGGACGTGGGTGGCGCTGTGGGTTAAACCACAGAGCCTAGGGCTTGCCGATCAGAAGGTCGGCGGTTCGAATCCCCATGACGGAGTGAGCTCCCGTTGCTCGGTCCCTGCTCCTGCCAACCTAGCAGTTTGAAAGCACGTCAAAGTGCAAGTAGATAAATAGGTACCGCTCCGGCGGGAAGGGAAACTGCATTTCTGTACGCTGCTCTGGTTCACCAGAAGCGGCTTTGTCATGCTGGCGACATGACCTGGAAGCTGTACGCCGGCTCCCTTGGCCAGTAAAGCGCGATGAGCGCCGCAACCCCAGAGTCGGCCACGACTGGACCTGATGGTCAGGGGTCCCTTTACCTTTACACACACACCCCTAAAGTGGGAAACAGCTTCTGGGCAGGAGGTTGTGTGTGTGTCACAACAAGCTAACCACCCCTCTTTTGGCGCCACAGCCATCCTGGTGGCAGTAGCGCCTCACATTCAAGTGCTCTAGTTCTCATAACAACTCTGGGGTGGCCCAAGCAAGCCCAAGCCTTCCCTATGGCTTTGGGAGCTATAGAAAGTGATGAACCCTCAAGCCATCTCTTTGGCCCAGAGAAAACTGTGCAGGATGAGAGCGGACTTGAAGGAAGGACAAGGTGGAAAGCCTTGTATTCCTTGGCTGAGTTTCTCCCCTTCCCCGTGCAATATTTCTTCACTTACTAGCCATACTGAGAAATCACATATTCAGGTGAGCCTGAATATCAAGTCCCAGCACATTTCGAAAGCAGGCTCTGGCAGGTCTTACAACGCCAGAACGATGATCTGAACAGCCACCGTTTGTTCTTATTCTGCATATTTGTCAGAAAGAATAGAGTCCTTTGCTGTGGGCCCTTGGCTGTCCAAAACACGAGGGTGTTAACTGAAAGGCATTGCCATTGTTCCAGTACCTGTTTTAGCTTTGCTTCCATCCTCTGCGTGTTGATCCTAATGGAGGCAAGTTCGGTACTCATCTGAAAAGTGAGGTAATAAAAAGCTGAAACGAGGGTCTTCAAAGAAAGCTCGTTTCCACCAGCAATATCTCCTGAGCTTTCTGCATTCCATGCATCCATTAACACCCATGGAATCTGGACACTGGCACAGAATTCAGTTTTTTTGAAAAACCGAATTACAGTGGTACCTTGGGTTACATACGCTTCAGGTTACATACGCTTCAGGTTACAGACTCCGCGAACCCAGAAATAGTACCTCAGGTTAAGAACTTTGCTTCAGGATGAGAACAGAAATCGTGCTCCGGTAGCGCAGCGGCAGCAGGAGGCCCCATTAGCTAAAGTGGTGCCTCAGGTTAAGAACAGTTTCAGGTTAAGAACGGACCTCCGGAACGAATTAAGTACTTAACCCGAGGTACCACTGTATTGTTTTCCAATCCTAATGCTGGTGCAGAGTAACTGCAAAATAGAATAACAATACCTGATCAATGCTCAGAAAGCTTGATTAAGACTTCTAGCACTCTGCTTCCAAATGCCAGGAAAGCCAAAATATTGCTGTTTCATTAATGCAGATAATATGCAAATATGAACCAAGCATAATGGGCAGTATTCTACTATCAGTGCAAGGATTTCCATGAGCACAGTGGGACTCGCCACCCCTTCTGAGTGCATTCTGCGCCCTTCCCAAATCTGTTCCAAATGGTTGGGGGAACCCCTAGGACAGATTTCGGGGGCACACAGGGGGAGGAGGAGGAGTGTGGGGAGCTCTGTTGCGCAAGCAGAAATCTTTGCGCTGACTTTCTGAGTACAGAATCCAATTATGTCATGGCACAAAGAGGAATTTCCCCAGCCTGTCCTTCAGCCCAGAAAGACTGGCAACCCACGCTGTAGGTCAATATAACTGGATGGTACCTGGTTACACTTTGTCTCCAAGGTGGTGTTCAGCTTGCGAAGCCGGCTGTTTTCTGAGCGTGTGTCCTGGAGGGACTGCGCCTTTTCTTCCAGCTGCTTCACTCTAGTCTATGATAAACGAAAGATGACACGTGTTCCAGAGCCTTCTGAAATACGCGCCTGCGCTCTGGAAACAGCAATGGCGTTTGCCAAACTCGGAGGAAAAAGGGGTCCAATAAAGGCACAATCCGGGTGGTATTTAAATAAAACCCACACCGGCCGCTTACAGCTACTTTTCTGCGAGTTTGTGCAGGTGCCTTGTTTTCAACTGAGAAAAGCTATTTCATGAATGCTGTCCTAAAGATACTTGCATGAAAGCTAAGACCCATTTAAATGAATGAGACATATTTCCCAGTGAATGGGGTCTGACGTGATACTTGGCAGCTTCCTGTGACCCTGAAAATGTATGCTTCCTAGCTGGTAACTTATTTCTGTCTCCATCCTCGTCTTCCTGTCTAAATACAGTGGTACCTCGGGTTACATACGCTTCAGGTTACATACGCTTCAGGTTACAGACTCTGCTAACCCAGAAATAGTGCTTCAGGTTAAGAACTTTGCTTCAGGATGAAAACAGAAATTGTGCTCCGGCGGCGCGGCAGCAGCAGGAGGTCCCATTAGCTAAAGTGGTGCTTCAGGTTAAGAACAGTTTCAGGTACGGACCTCCGGAATGAATTAAGTACTTAACCCGAGGTACCACTGTGGTCATAAAGACTCCAAATGCAAGGCACTGTTTAAATCAGGCATAGGCAAACTCTGGCCCTCCAGATGTTTTGGAACTACAACTTCCATCATCCCTAGCTAACAGTGGTCAAGGGTGATGGGAATTGTAGTCTCAAAACATCTGGAGGTCTGGAGTTTGCCTATGCCTGGTTTAAATTAAGACTTTCCCCTTCCTTCTGCCTCTGTAAAGCCTACCTGTTAATTTCTGATGCTGGGAGATTGGCAGTGTGTGTGTGGGGGGGGAATGTATATTATATATTTATACACACAAAAAACACCCCTAGGGGTTTCATTTTCACCCCCTGCATGCCACACCAGTGAGGCCGAGTTGTTGATTACTGGGGCCAGATGTCAGACAGCAACGTCCAAGGCCATGTTAAGGAGGAATGTGTGTATTGTTGTTTGGGAGGAAGCAAGATCTGTTTTTCTCAGGCAAAGTGTTACTCAAGAGGTATCAGAAGGAAATGCTTGAAAACTTACGAACGACTATTATAGATAGATAGAAGAGGATTTACTCCACACTCGACTATTTTGAGGACAGGCTATAACAATGCATAAAAAGGCATAGCAGAAATTGGTAACTGAACAGGTGATGTGTAGGGAGAAGGGATGAATGTATTTTGAAATGATAGTTGGAAAAAAGTTATTTTTTTGGAAGCAGCAAAGGAGGGAGGAAAACAGAGGGGACTTCTGGGGTGGGAGGGAAGCCCAACTTTCAAATCTGTATTGAATTTGTATTGATCTGGTGACAATTCGTTAAATATTATGGAACGTCAATTAAAATAATTGGCAAAGGGGGGGGGGAATCTGGTTGCTTTGTTGTTTATAGGCACACTTGGAACTGAAAAAGAAAAGAAAAAAACATAGTGGCAGCCCAGTGCAGTCTGGCTGGAGCCAAAATCAAATTTCAGGCTCCCTTTGAAAGCTTGAGGGGTGCCATGGAGGCAAGGTTCCCACTGATCCATCTCCAGATGCTGCTCCAATGTTAAACAAGTATCAAAAACCACATCAGAAGGACCAGTTGCTCCGTTTCTTACCATAGAAGCACCACCTGGGTTGGATCTTGCCGAAAAGTAGTTTACATGGTACTCCTGTAATGCTTTGAAGCAGGGCTGAGGAGCCTCCAGGTGCTGTTTAACACCCCATCAACCCCAGCTGGCATGGCCAATGGGCAGAGATGATGGGAGTTGTAGTCCACCACCATCGAGAGCCACAGACTCCCCCGCCCCCGATTTAAAGGGTCCCTGCGCACACCGCTTTCAAAATAACAAGCTCAAATGCATTCAGCATGATGGCGCCTTCTTTCCTTTTCCTTTCTTTAAAAAAAAAAAAATACTATCTCGTAACAATACAAAGCTACCTCAGAGGTAAGGTAAAGGTAAAGGTACCCCTGCCCGTACGGGCCAGTCTTGACAGACTCTAGGGTTGTGCGCCCATCTCACTCAAGAGGCCGGGGGCCAGCGCTGTCCGGAGACACTTCCGGGTCACGTGGCCAGCGTGACATCGCTGCTCTGGCGAGCCAGAGCCGCACACGGAAACGCCGTTTACCTTCCCGCTAGTAAGCGGTCCCTATTTATCTACTTGCACCCGGGAGTGCTTTTGAACTGCTAGGTTGGCAGGCGCTGGGACTGAACAACGGGAGCGCACCCCGCCGCGGGGATTCGAACCGCCAACCTTTCGATCGGCAAGCCCTAGGCGCTGAGGCTTTTACCCACAGCGCCACCCGCGTCCCTACCTCAGAGGTACGATCTGCCATTTTGCTTGGATGAAGAGCCTTTTTAACAATGCACACATGCACTTGCAAGCTCCCTCTCTGCAAATTACTGCTGTTTGGGTTTTAATTATTTACTTGTTCGTATTCTGTATTTCATTCTGTGAACCGCCCTGAGATCTTATGAAGATGGGTAACATATAAATAATACAATAAATCATACTAAACAGTGCCATTTTTCTAGAGGTGCCGAACTCAACCTGAACGTCTCCCTTGTTCTCTTAGAATGACAATGGCACTCCTTAAGGAATACATCAAAATGTATGTGGAAAAAGTAAAATTTCTGACAGATATTGAGTGAATCCAGAAAATGATTAGAGTGAAAGGAGAGTAAAGTCAAGACAGAAGAAGAGATTAAAGAAAAATAAAATAGCATAACAAGAATGGCTGGAAGTCAAGTCACTTGGTGGGTGTCCGTGTGGGGTAGGTGTGTAGGTATGTCGAAAATTTAATTTTAAAAAAAATAGAATGGCAATGGCGCCCACCTGAGAGGTGCCGGAACCGAATTCCGGTGAGTTCCGGCTGAAAAAAAGCCCTGATAAGGTACAAAAGCCTGAGAACTAAAACGAAACAGCCAAGTGGCCCTCAGCAATAAAACCACAGTTGGCCCCAGGATTTTGCTGCTCTTCTGCGTAGTCACCACTCAGCAGCTTTTCAAGAGACAAAAGGTTGGCTGCATGGTCAGCACAACTACAGCTCGGGCTGTGTTAACACCAAAAGACTAAAGCTCTAGTATTCTGATGCATTCTACTCTTAAGCTGGCTGGGAGTGGGGCTGAGATAGTTGTTCATCCCCACCCATGAAACAGCAGTACTGAAAAGAGCAAAGGTCTATCAGCAAGGAAGAACTGAGAGCCAGTGTGGTGTAGTGGTTAAGAGTGGTGGAATCGTAATCTGGGGAACCGGGTTTGCTTCCCCGCTCCTCCACATGCAGCTGCTGGGTGACCTTGGGCCAGTCACACTTCTTTGAAGTCTCTCAGCCCCACTCACCTCACAGAGTGTTTGTTGTGGGAGAGGAAGGGAAAGGAGAATGTTAGCCGCTTTGAGACTCCCTTCAGGTAGTGATAAAGCGGGATATCAAATCCAAACTCTTTTTCTCTTCAGAGAAGGCAAACAGCCAGTGGCTGGCCTTACTCCACAAGGCTGACATACCTGAAGTTTCCCTTTCTCATAAGCCAGTTTATTTTTGGTGTCCGTCAGCTCTTCCAGAACTTGCTTTACTTGCTGTTGGGCATACTGGGGGAAGACAAAAGCAGAGGTCATTCTCATTCACTCACAAACACACACACACACACACACTCAAAAAGCCTCTTAGTTTTGAGGAGGTGCTTCTGGCGAGCTGCGATGGAGGATGGCTGAATTCCATCACCGCCGTACGTTCCAGAATCAGAGGCTGAGATGGGAGTAATCAGCCTCCCTGCACTCTCTGGGCTGGGGAGTGGCGGCTCATCTGCAGATCGCCCAACACCTGGCCCCAAATTCAGAAGGAAGGAGGGGCTGGGGGGGGCGCTGGGACGTTTCTTGGCAACTCCCCAAAGTCGCCTCCATTTAGCAGCAAGCTTCTAATTCTTAAGATGAAAAATTGGATTTGAGTTTTGGGCATGATCTGAGCAAAGGAGGAGAAACTACTCTGCTAATTAATTCAGCCACTGAGGTGCTAAAAAGGATTTGAACGGAAAAAGGATTAACATCTACGTAGACTTGGTATGTTGGAACTGAAAGGGGGGGGTGACCCTCCTTTGTTATTATATTTCGTTGTGCTATATTATATGGCAAAATCCTCCTCTGAAAGAACCAACTGCCCGATTATTTATAGCAAGCGAGACTGGAGAGGTGGTGATATAATATGACTCTAATAATCATTAACTGTGTGGAAATAACAATTATTCAAAAGTGGAAAGCCAAGTTCAAAGTATTCGTCTTCAGATATATTTGGAAGAGCATAAAGAGTTTCCCAACTCTGATTTGGAGAATGACTGGAGAGACGCCAAAAAAACTTTGGAAGTTTGCCTGGAATTAGAATGACACAGCTCCAATTAACCGAGTAGCCATGACCAAAAGTAGATCAGCTTGTTGAATTAAATGAGGAGCCTTAGGGAGATAGGTGCCTTTTAATATCTTACTTAATATTTGCATTCCCAGTTTTATATGGCAAAGCCTTCCCTGCACAGGTAACCCATTTGAAGGACAGCTGGTCTTAAAAGCATTGGGCAGATGCCTTGATTTGATTTTATCTGCACTGACTTGCTTGAGGTGAGAAGATTTTTGGACTGGCTTGGTGAAAACATCATTTTGTGAAGAGATATTGTGAACATACAGAGGGAACTCTGGGCGTAAATTTCACACAGAATATATTGTTTAGCTTTATCTTGCTTGTTTGATAAACTCAGAGGCTGTGAAAAGTAATGAGGATTAACATCGGAATGATTTATGGGAACTATCACGAAAATTATGAAAGCAGTAGACATATGAGATGATCAGCCCCCCCCCCAAATGGGAAGATACCTCCAAAAAATGTTATAATTTGGCATAATATTTGGACTGTTTAATTATTAAATAATATGTATAATTTGGAATATTTAATATGGTTTGATTGGATTGTTGAAGTGGAAAATTTAATAAATAGTATTTTTTTTAAAAAAGCATCTTAGTCTTTGCTTAGCCAGGCCCAGTATTTCCCCCCCTCCTTGAATGGAAGAAGAAAAACACGTGTTTCAGGAGCTTTCAGTTGTGTATGTCAGTAGCCAAAAGGAGGAGAGATGCAGAGATGATACTCTCCGACTCAATATGAGCCTCAATATGACTTGACTCTCCAGGGGATTTCAAGGTCAGAAAGCCTTTTTGAAATATAGGCAGGATGAAAGCAGGGGACATCAGAACATACAGTCTGCGCAATGGGGAGGTCAAATACATGGGGTGGGCAGCCAAACGGCCCATTCAAGAGATACCCAGGGATTTATTTCCACCAAAAATGTTGATTCCACTTGAATGCAACAGTGGACTATCTGCTCCACCTCTTAACAACATAAAGTCCCCTGTTTTGTTTTCATGCTACACCCACTGATGTCTGCATTGCTCATTTAGAAGGAAAGGGAGAAGAGGCCGAGGCTGTGGTGTGCAACAGCAGAAACCATTACCGGGTCGTTTTCTTTCCCTTTCAAAAAGGGAATCCTAACTGTAGCATTGTCTTTGTCCATGGAGTTTTCTTGGCAGGGATACTGGAGTGGCTTGCCGGTTCCTGCTCCAGTGAGAGCTGGACCATAAAGAAGGCTGATCGCCAAATAATTGATGCTTTTGAATTCTGGTGCTGGAGGAGACTCTGGAGAGTCCCATGGACTGCAAGAAGATCAAACCTATCCATTCTAAAGGAAATCAGCCCTGAGTGCTCACTGGAAGGACAGATCCTGAAGCTGAGGCTCCAATACTTTGGCCACCTCATGAGAAGAGAAGACTCCCTGGAAAAGACCCTGATGCTGGGAAAGATTGAGGGCCCAAGGAGAAGGGGACGAAGAGGACGAGATGGTTGGACAGTGTTCTCAAAGCTACCAGCATGAGTTTGACCAAACTGTGGGAGGCAGTGGAAGACAGAAGTGCTTGGCGTGCTCTGGTCCGTGGGGTCACAAAGAGTCGGACACGACTAAACAACAACAACTACTACTGTAGCATTGTTCAATAATTTGTGAGCAGCCTGGTCAAGAGCCATCTAAAGGGCCACTTCCTGGGCCTGGTAAGAGCCCTCAGATCTCAGGTTCTGATTCTCTTGCTGGACAGAGATGGAGAAACCAAGATCTTCACGGTGGTCCACCATTGCGGCGGAACACTTGAAATAACAGAAGCAAGCCAAATGAAACAGGCCATTTTCCCTAGCTCAGGAGCAGCCAGTGTGGGGTGCGCCTTGCTGATGTTGTGGGACTACAATTCCCATCAACCCCAGCCTGTATTATGGTCAATGGTCAGGGATGATGGGAGCTGTAGTCCAACATCTGGGGCCACCAACATCTGGGCTATCCCACCTTAACTAAGTAAATATATATTGAACATGGATATTAAAGATTGGTTTCCCAAAGAAACAACAAAACTCTTAGCACATTGGTTCTGTGTTGCTTACTATTCGTTCTTTTTTTAAGAGAGAAGCTCGTTCTAATTTTATGAAAATATTATGAAATTATTTCTGCTGAGACTGAAAATTACATGTTGGTGTTCCAAGGCAGCTTCCCGCTCCATTAATTTCTTGTTTTCTTCTTCCAACACCTTCACAGTATCTTTGAGAGGACCGATTTCCAACTTGAAAAAAAGAAGGGAAATTGCCATTATTATTTGCTTGCTTCTTTATTTCACCATGCAAATTCAAGGCAGGTCACACACAAAAATAGTCTTAACTACTCACACTGGCGTGCTTTTGAACTGCTAGCTTGGCAGGAGCTGGGACAGAGCAACAGGAGCTCCCCCCATCAAGGGGATTCGAACCGCCGACCTTCCGATCGGCAAGCCCAAGAGGCTCAGTGGTTTAGACCACAGCGCCACCCACGTCCCGGTTGCTGGTACACCACCAACAAAGGCTGTTGATGTCCCAAGCCAAGTGAGGTTACGTATGGCTTTGTATTCATTTTAACTTCAGTTATTCTGACTGAATTTATTTAGAAGAACCGTACTGGATCCAGAACCGACCGCTACAATCCAGTTAATTCTGATGCATCCCCAATACCAACAGAGTGTAAACAAGTCTTGTCGGCAGCCGTGGTATGAATGACCATCATACCTTGTGTTCTGTTAGTTCCGCTTCCAATCTTTTGTTCTCTTCCGTTATTTCATGAACTGTTTTCTGCATCTGCCACCAAGGATTAAAAAACAGCTCCATCATCAATCTCACCAAAGGAGGATCCAAGCTGTACTATTTTACCTCCCTAGGTATTTGAGAGAGAAAATAAACTTACCAAACCCCAGCCTGCCAGCTTCTAACTCTGTACCGGCCCAGCTCCTTATATTTCCTTTTATTCCTCATTGCTCCACTATTGATCTACACACGCGATCCATTTGCCTGCACTTCCTCCCTGGTGGACAGTAGGTTCCCCTTGAACTTTTACAAAATAATCTTGAACTTGAGCCAGCGTGGTGTAGTGGTTAAGAGCGGTAGTGTCATAATCTGGGGAACCGGGTTCGTGTCTCTGCTCCTCCACTTGCAGCTGCTGGGTGACCTTGGGCCAGTCACACTTCTTTGAAGTCTCTCAGCCCCACTCACCTCACAGAGTGTTTGTTGTGGGGGAGGAAGGGAAAGGAGAATGTGAGCCGCTTTGAGACTCCTTTGGGTAGTGATAAAGCGGGATATCAAATCCAAACTCTTCTTTTTCTTCTGGTGAAATTAAATATGTTGCCCCCCCCAATCAAGGGTTGTTTACCAATATGCCTGAAGCCCCAAAAAGGTTAACAAGAAAAACTGTCATGTGCACATCACACATTCCACAACCAAATACACACAGCAAACTAGCTCTATTAATAATTAATTATTAAAATAATAATAATAATAATAATAATAATAATAATAATAATAATAATAAAAATTTTATTTATATCTCGCCCTCCCCGGCCAGAACCGGGCTCAGGGCAGCTAACATCAAAATATACAATACATTAAAACATTAATGCAGAATGCTTCTTTCCAGCCTAATTTCAGGTGGGGGGGGAGGGGGAGACACGACCCTGCGGGGGTGTCAGGGAAAGCCTCTGCAGACACACCTGTGGGTCCCAGGTGGGCAATCAATAACTCTGATGTAATTTTTTTAAGTTAAAAGCAACTTTAAAAAAAAGATGCTAATGTAGAAATTTTCCTAACTCTTTGAAACAGCTATGATGAAAGGGTACATTTGGCAAAAAGCTAGCCTTTTAGTTAAGAATGGACAGTAACAAAGAAAGGCATATTTAAGGGCCAGGAACAGAGACATTTGTGCAAATGAAACACACGATTCGTGTATCTTTAATGACCTGTCATATTCATGTCAATCTTCATTTCCCAGGGGTGGGGCGACTCCCAGATATCACTGACAGCTCATAAACTGATGTGCTTAATATACCAGTTCTTTGTGCTGCTTTCAGCAACAGGCAGCACAAAACTGAGTTGTAATAATAATAATAATAATAATAATAATAATAATAATAATAATAATAATAATAATTTATTATTTATACCCCGCCCATCTGGCTGGGCTTCCCCAGCCACTCTGGGTGGCTTCCAAAAAAAATATTAAAATACTGTAATACATCAAACATTAAAAGCTTCCCTAAACAGGGCTGCCTTCAGATGTCTTCTAAAAGTCTGGTAGTTGTTGTTCTCTTTGACATCTGGTGGGAGGTCATTCCACAGGGAGGGCGCCACTACCGAGAAGGCCCTCGGCCTGTTTCCCTGTAACTTGGCTTCTTGCAGTGAGGGAACCGCCAGAAGGCCCTTGGCGCTGGACCTGAGTGTCCGGGTAGAATGATGGGGGTGGAGACGCTCCTTCAGGTACGCTGGGCCGAGGCCGTTTAGGGCTTTAAAGGTCAGCACCAACACTTTGAATTGTGCTCGGAAACGTACTGGGAGCCAATGTAGGTCTTTCAAGACCGGTGTTACGTGGTCTCGGCGTTATATGGTCTCGGAGTTAGTACAGAAATGTCCCCCTCTCCGTTATAAACCATAGCATTCTATGGTACTAAGCGGTACATCTTGGTCCTTGGAAGCTGCTATTGGAGGAACGCCACACATTTCTCTAAAGAGTGTTTAATGCCCAAACAGACATTTAATCTAATGACTTGTCTCAAACCAAGAGTAGGCCCACTGAGATTAAACAGACCTAAGTCAGCCATGCCCATTAAATTCAGCGGGTTTACTCTGGGTAGGCCTAAGATGCAACCCAGTATTTTTAAAATAACATGGCAAATGTTCATGGTACCTGTTCCTCTAGCCTCTCCTTCTCCTTCAGCAGAGAGTCCCTCTCCTGCAGAGCTGCCTCCAGTTCGCTTCTGATCTTGGCAACTGTGGATTCCAGAAGCTCCTTTTGAGCGGTTGTGGTCTCCTGGAGTTCGGATGCTTCATGCCCGCAGGCAGCGTGTGCTACACGCAAGGCTTCTCTGTGGAGCAAAGAAGCAAACACAAATGCATCACACACCTTTGAAGGTGAACAGGAAACTACAACTAATCCAGAATGCGGCAGCTAGACTGGCAACTGGGAGTGGCCACCGAGACCACATAACACCGGTCCTGAAAGACCTACATTGGCTCCTAGTACGTTTCCAAGCACAATTCAAAGTGTTGGTGCTGACCTTTAAAGCCCTAAACGGCCTTGGTCCAGTATATCTGAAGGAGCGTCTCCACCCCCATCGTTCTGCCCAGACACTGAGGCCCAGCGCCAAGGGCCTTCTGGCAGTTCCCTCCCTGCAAAAAGTAAGGTTACAGGGAACCAGGCAGAGGGCCTTCTTGGTAGTGGCACCCACCCTTTCAGATATCAAGGAGAGAGATAACTATCTGACTTTTGGAAGACATCTGAAGGCAGCCCTGTACTGGGAAGTTTTTAATGTTTGGCATTTTATTGTGCTTTTAATATTCTGTTGGGAGCCACCCAGATTGGCTGGGGAAACCCAGCCAGATGGGCAGGGTATAAATAAATTACTATTACTATTATTATTATTATTACTTCTACAACCTTCAAAAGCAGCCAAAAGGCCTCACATTTCAGACAGCAGATGTATGCCACAGAATGAGACGCCTTGCATTTAAGACTGAAGTAGAGCTTGTATTAAGATTTTATATATATATATGAGGGAATATGACATAAAAGGAAGCCAGGCCACACATAGGAAAGGAATACTTTGGCTCTCACATCTCTCTCTGGAGCTGAGCTTTTTCATTCTGCACAATCTGCAGTTCCGCCGTAATACTGGCCCGGGCAGCATCCAGAATCAAGTCTTGCTCTTGCAGCTTCTGATTGATTTTATCCTGCTCCACCTAAAAAAGAAAGGAGGAATTATGAAGGCGCTTATAATGATAAAATGAAGACCCAACATTTTCAGTGTGAAAATCTTGGCTGTGAAGAGCTGGAAGAGCTGCTCCCTGCTTTGCAGGCCTCTTTCCACCTGGCCTGAGAGGGCAGGGCCCAGACTGACTCCAGCTACAAAAGCGGAGGCTGGTGAAGAGGCCAGACCACCTTGGCTGCTTCTTAGTGCAGACTCAGGCTATTGAGCTTCCACAGTGTTGCCGCCAGACGTTTTGAGACTACAGTTCCCAGCATCCCTGACCACTGGTCCTGCTAGCTAGGGATCATGGGAGTTGTAGTCCGGCAAATTCTGGCAACCTAAGTTTGAGGAAACACTGTGTACCACGAAGCCCACTTGACATATTACAAAATATTAGTGGGTACAAAAGTCTGTCGGGGGGGGGGGGACTGAGAAGAACGGGCTTGCCTCCCACAATTCTTTGCTCCTACCTTTGTCACGTGTTCGGAGATAGATAGAACCCAACCCAGATAACCCCTCACCAACCCATGGAAATTGTGTACAGCATACGCATCACAGATTAATAGGACGGTTTCTGAAACGCGCGTGAAAATGGCTCCACACCTTTAGGGCGGCCTGGTGATCCGAGATGAGTTGAGCGTTCTCCGCGGTTACACTTCGAAGGGTGTCGTTCATTTCTGCACACTGCTGGGTCAACTGCTCATTGAGCACCTTGAGGAAGGACACAAGTGTCACAAGAAGTGTCTATCAACTCATGATTCCCAGCTTTCTTCCTTAAGAATATATGGTAAAATATTGCTCAAAAAAAAGATATGCTAATAGGCCTAGATTAAAATGTAAAGTATCTGAGGGAAGGTAAATTAGCAAGGAAATATAATAAGAATATATAGAAGATTTGAGGAGATTGTAAATGCAAAGATTAACGTAGGAAATCAGAACGTAGAGGAAATCGAGTGGGGGCGGAGGGAAGTGACAAAAGAATATTAGGTTTGATTGATGGATATATGGGGGGTGGGGAGGATGTGGTGATGGCTTTGGTTTATTTATATTGTGATGTAATCTGAAAAAAAACCAGTAAAATATTGTATTGGAAATACTACTACTACTAATAATAATAATAATAATAAAGGGGGATTCTATGGGCCTTAGGTAGCTAGGTCCTACAGCCAATGTCGGGCAGGATTCAACTTGCTCTAGTTTTGTTCTCATCCTCCTCGCTGCCGATTTCAATGAGGGCAAAATTGAGACTAAATAGGAGGCTGTAGGAGTAGCACCGCATTTGCCCTCAAGGAAAGACCTCAACCAGACATTCCTGGGTGACTGTTCCCCAGCCTCTATTTCTTCAGCACCCATATTCCACACACACAAAATGGCGCATGCAAAATCTATCCAGACCTTGGCAAAGCAATCTCTCTTTTCTGCTAGACATGATTTTGAACAGAGTCCTTAAAAAAAATAAAACAAAATCCCATTACTTGCACTTCTTCTGCCACCTCTCGCAAAGAGGCTATTTCTGATCGCAGCTGCGTGTTCTCCTCGTGTTCCCTGCTCAGAGACAGCCGTGCAGCCTAAAGGAAGAGGAAACAAAGGATTCCCTGGGTGGAAATGCTTCAAACACGCAAAGCATTGCAAGTAGTTCAACCGGGTGTGTCAATACACCCCGTTCCATCTCATTTTTCATGTAATGGGGCAGCCCAGTTAAATTAGTACAGCTCTTGAATAATTAGCCTCATGCCCTTGCTGTATCAGCTGCACTTACCTGAACTGTAGGTATATATGGGGTCAAGACATTAAAGCGGGGGGGGGGGGGAATCCCACCGAATTCCAAAATTCCTGTTTTTAAACTTACTTTCCCTTCTTCATTGAGCCTGGAGATGGTATTCTCTCGGGATTCTAGAACAAACCCACAGAAAGAAAGCGTCATCGGATTTTGAAGCTATTAATCAAAATGCTAACCATCATCACTTAAGATGTTGTTGGGGGTTTTTTCCAAATCAAAACACCAAATATAGAACTCTGCTACAGAAACTGCTGCGCCAGGCTCTTTTTTTCCTAGAATACTGTTTCGGACTAACAAGCAAGGACAAATATTAAGATAGATGACATTTTTTATGGTAAACCTAAGAAAGGATTAGCTCAGGGGTTGGCAAACTAAGGCCCGGGGGCCAGATCAGGCCCAATTGCCTTCAGGATCCGGCCCGCGGACCATCCGTGGATCGGCGTGGGGATTCTGTTTGTTCGGGTTGTGCCATTTTTCCCCTGCACCATTCCAATTCCCCCCCCCACACACACACTGCGGTGGCGCCTCCTCCCTCCCTCCTCCTGGCTTCTCCCTGCCCTGACTAGAGGAGGAAGGGGGCTGGGCTGAGCTGGCTGAGCGCCATTTTAAGCAGCCCCTCTCCGGAGCCAGCCCTTTCGCGCCGCTCATCTTCCCTCTGCCGCCGCCAACCTGGTGCTCCTGTGGGCCAGAGAGCGGAGCGGACGAACTTGGTTTGCCTACCCATGAGAAGCAGCGGCGGTAGCGGCCCCAGGGAAGGTAAGCGCAGTGGCTGGAGGTGGGACTACTTGCCCCCTTCACCTCTTCTTCCAGTGGACCACTCCGCAGCTAAATTTTTTTGCCAACCCCTGGATTAGCTGCTGAAATCTTTTGCAGGCTTATTTGCAAATAATTTCCATTGAACTCGGAAGGAATTCCTTCTGAGTAAGAGCTACAGGGCTGGGCTGTGGACTGTTAATGCTTTCACACAAGCCAAAGCAGTACAGTGGTACCTCGGGTTACATATGCTTCAGGTTACATACGCTTCAGGTTACAGACTCCGCTCACCCAGAAATAGTACCTCGGGTTAAGAACTTTGCTTCAGGATAAGAACAGAAATCGGGCTCCGGCGGCGTGGCGGCAGCAGGGGGCCCCATTAGCTAAAGCGGTGCTTCAGGTTAAGAACAGTTTCAGGTTAAGAACAGACCTCCAGAACAAATTAAGTACTTAACCCGAGGTACCATTGTAGTTTGTGTCTTTCATTTTTTTAATAAAGAGGTCTTTAAACTCATAATGAACCTGGTGAGATTAATTGTGTTGCATTCTCTGATAAAGTAAAGGTAAAGGTACCCCTGCCCGTACGGGCCAGTCGTGTCCGACTCTGGGGTTGTGCGCCCATCTCACTCTATAGGCCGGGGGCCAGCGCTGTCCGAAGACACTTCCGGGTCACGTGGCCAGCGTGACAAGCTGCATCTGGCGAGCCAGCGCAGCACACGGAACGCCGTTTACCTTCCCGCTAGTAAGCGCTCCCTATTTATCTACTTGCACCCGGGGGTGCTTTCGAACTGCTAGGTTGGCAGGCGCTGGGACCGAACGACGGGAGCGCACCCCGCCACGGGGATTCGAACCACCGACCTGATGATTGGCAAGTCCTAGGCGCTGAGGTTTTACTCACAGCGCCACCCGCGTCCCATTGCATTCTCTGATAGTACTGCGGTTTATCATGTAAAAGATTACCTGGCCCTTTTAAGTGTTGATGAAAATCCGTAACAGCTACTGCAGATGAAACCGATCATCTGTAATTTTTTGTTGTTGAAATGTCCCAATAGCTATGCAGCCAGCAAAAAAAAAACACAATTCCCTCAAAGCTCAATCAACTCTCTTTTCAGCATCTCCAACAGTCACTACAAAATCCTTAGGCGTCGGCTGCATAGCCACTTGCTACGTTTTGTGTCATCTCTAAATATATTTGTTCTCATTCAGTTTGTCAATGCCTATCCCACTATTATTGCAGTTAATGTTAATGTTTGTTTAATTGGTGCTGACCTTTAAAGCCCTCAACAGCCTCGGCCCAGTACACCTGAAGGAGCGTCTCCACCCCCATTGTTCAGCCCGGACACTGAGGTCCAGCTCCGAGGGCCTTCTGGTGGTTCCCTCACTCAAGGCGTAAGGTTACAGGGAACCAGACAGAGGGCCTTCTTGGTAGTGGCACCCGCTCCATGGAATGCCCTCCCAGCAGATGTCAAGGAAATAAACAACTACAGTATCTGACGTTTAGAAGACATCTGAAGGCAGCCCTGTTTAGGGAAGTTTTCAATGACTGATGTTTTAATGTATTTTTAATCTTTTGTTGGCAGCCACCCAGAGTGGCTGGGGAAACCCAGCCAGATGGGCGGAGTATAAATAATAAACTTATTATTATTATTCACATTTATAGGCCATCCTACGTTTAGGCTCCAGACCTGCTAAGATATACTTTCCTATTTCGTCAGTCAGGCTGGAAAGACATCCAAAAGGCCCCTTCTTAATACTTGAGCTGGTCTCACAGTCCTTTCACATGGGAACAGGCCATTGCAGATTTAATACCACAGACAGACTTACACACTGCAGTGGTTTTCAGCGAGTCACTTCACACATTAAACTGCCAATTGTTACAGGTGGAGCGCATGAAGAAGAAGAGTTTGGATTTGATATCCCGCTTTATCACTACCCGAAGGAGTCTCAAAGCGGCTAACATTCTCCTTTCCCTTCCTCCCCCACAACAAACACTCTGTGAGGTGAGTGGGGCTGAGAGACTTCAGAGAAGTGTGACTAGCCCAAGGTCACCTAGCAGCTGCATGTGGAGGAGCGGGGAATCGAACCCGGTTCACCAGATTACGAGTCTACTGCTCTTAACCACTACACCACACTGGCTCTCATGGAGTGTGTACTAGTCTTAAGCCATGAAGAAGATCCAAAACGACTTGCATACCTAGATCCGATTTAAGCTGTGTGCACTGCTGTTCCAGCTGAAGAGCCTTCTCTTCCTCCCTTCGCAGCCTCTCCCGAGATATCTCAATATCTTGGCGGAGGCTGTTGCAGTCCTCTTGCAGAATGTGAACCTGTAATGGCATCCAAATAACACATTCAGTAATTTCTTTTTAAAAATAAAAATAAAAAATAACCGCCAACAAAGCCTTTCATTGAGCTAGACAGCTGAAGAATGAACGAGCTATAGCTGTACTGTTTGCAACCAAAAGAATTTTATTTTTTAAATTTTACTCATTTGGTTTTTCAGATTACAGTTTTACAATCCCAAATTTCAACATACAAGATAAAAACAAGATTTCTTAGAATCTCCTGGACTTCCCTCCTCCCCTTGTAGGTCCTGTTGTTAGCCAATCCCTCCTGCATCTTTTACGATAATCCCAATCTTTTACATCTCCGTTTTGTCCAAAATTCACCATTAAAGCAAAAGTGTTATTCCAATCCTGCTAACAATTTTAACTGTTTACAATGGTCTTTAAGACCATTAAATCCCCCCCACTCTTTATAAAAATTTTGGCCTTCCTGATTTCTGATTCTTCTGGTCGTTTTTTGCCATTTCGGCAAAGTTGTTTTTAATATTGCTTTTAATGCTGTAACCTGCCCTGGTACCTTATGGTGAAGGGCAGGTAATAAATAATCCACACCCTTAATCTCCCCTCCCATAGACACCCTTAAGGCTCAGGGAGAGAAGACTGGAAATCTGGGATTGTGATTCAGTGGCAGAGGCCATCTTTTGCATGCAAAAGATCCCAGATTGAACCCCAAGCAACTTCAAAAAGGGCTGGAAAAGAACCTTGCATGAATCTGCAAAGGGTGCCTACCAGTATAGACTACTGATACTACTACTACTACTACTTTATTACTTATACCCCACCCATCTTGGTTACAGGGAAGCAGGCAGAGGGCCTTCTCGGTAGTGGCGCCTGCCCTGTGGAACGCCCTCCCACCAGATGTCAAAGAGAAAAACAACTACCAGACTTTTGAAGACATTTGAAGGCAGTCCTGTTTAGGGAAGCTTTTAATGTTTAACGCACTACTGTATTTTAATATTTTGTTGGAAGCTGCCCAGAGTGGCTGGGGAAACCCAGCCAGATGGGCAGAGTATAAATTAATTATTATTATTATTATTATTATTATTATTATTATTATTATTTCATTTACCGGTATTTCATTTACCGGTATGCAAGAATGTGTATATATTCTTGCCTGCACAGCAGGGGAAGGTCATGTAGTAGGTCTGGAGAAAAGTTGTAGACCTTCCTTTTTAAAATGTGTGTTATTATTATTATACTAAAGAATTGCTATATTATTATTATTACAGTGGTACCTCGGGTTACATACGCTTCAGGTTACATATGCTTCAGGTTACAGACTCCGCTAACCCAGAAATATTACCTTGGGTTAAGAACTTTGCTTCAGGATGAGAACAGAAATCGTGCTCCGGCGGCGCAGCAGCAGCGGGAGGCCCCATTAGCTAAAGTGGTGCCAGTTTCAGGTTAAGAACGGACCTCTGGAACGAATTAAGTACGTAACCAGAGGTACCACTGCATTAATTAATTTTTTACACCTCCCCATACCTGCAGGTCACAGGGCGATCCACTACATAGAATCACAATATTAAAAACGCAAAATAAGTAATAAAAAACAAGAAGAATCCAATAACCCCCCTCCCCATTTGATGTTAATCAGCCAAAGGTCTGGTTAAAGAGGAACCTTTTTTTGCCTGGCACCTAAATGAAGGCCCCAGCCAAGCCTCCCTGCCATAGGAGGAGGAGGAGCATTTTGATATTTAAATGTGCTGTGGAAAGGGAGATTGTTGGTTTGCTTCTGTTCTTACTATATATTATGTATTTTTATATTGTAATTATATGTTGCGAACCACCCTGAGATCTACAGGTATAGGGCGGTATGCAAACTTAATCGATTAATTAATACTATGAATAGTATGCTGTTGAAACAATAGTACAGTGGGACCTCGGGCTACATACGCTTCAGGTTACAGACTCTGCTAACCCAGAAATAGTGCTTCAGGTTAAGAACTTTGCTTCAGGATGAGAACAGAAATCGTGCTCCGGTGGCGCGGCAGCAGCAGGAGGCCCCATTAGCTAAAGTGGTGCTTCAGGTTAAGAACAGTTCCAGGTTAAGAATGGACCTCCGGAACGAATTAAGTTCTTAACCCGAGGTAGCTCTGTAGTCTGTCAATAGCCTGCAAAACTGTATTGTTCTGTGGAATCCTAAAACGAGAACGGACGCTTCACCCACCTGCTTCCTTTCGTTTTCCACCGTCGCTTCCATTTCATGCATCCGATAAAGGAGGACTGCTTGGGATTCTTCCAAGGACTGCCGCGTGCTGGACTCCTTGGACAGCTTCTCCGTCAGCTGCAAGAGACAAAGCAGGCGTTGAGAAAACCAGTTCCGTTTCAAACCAGCGCTACAAGAGTGCGAGACTCTAAGCTCTAGGATAAGCAATTTGCTTGGCACTGGGAGGGAGCACTGGAAACGTGCAATCGTCTCTACAGCGGTACCTTGGAAGTCAAACAGAATCCGTTCCGGAAGTCCATTCGACTTCCGAAAACGTTCGGAAACCAAGGCACAGCTTCCGATTGCCTGCAGGAGCTTCCTGCGTTCAATCAGAAGCTGCAGAAGTCGCGCAGGATGTTCGGGTTCCAAAGAACGTTTGCAAACCGGAACGCTCCGGGTTTGCGGCGCTCGGGAGCCAAAACGTTTGAGTCGCAAGGCGTTCGGGTTCCAAGGTACGGCTCTATTTGCCTATCGCAACGTGGACGGCAGAACACTCTTAGCAAATAGAGTGGTACCTCAGGTTACATACGCTTCAGGTTACAGACTCCGCTAACCCAGAAATATTACCTCAGGTTAAGAACTTTGCTTCAGGATGAGAACAGAAATCGTGCTCCGGCGGTGTGGCAGCAGCAGGAGGCCCCATTAGCTACAGTGGTGCTTCAGGTTAAGGACAGTTTCAGCTTAAGAACAGATCTCCAGAACGAATTAAGTATGTAACCAGAGGTACCACTGCATTCTACACCTGTCCATAGCTTGAAACAGTTTCATCTCAAATATTCAAAACACGTGCTGGCCTTCGAAATGGATGCAACCCCTCCAAACAGAGGGGCACCTCATGGAAAATGTTGTGAGCATCACCAAAAGATTTATTTCCTTGTTTCAATTGCCATGCCTTCTTGAATTTTTAGGGAGCTCATCTTCTTCACTCCCCGCCCCCCCGTGGTAACCCAAACACCCTTCCGCCCTTACCTCTTGCAGTTTACGGTTCATCTTATTTTTCGCTGCCCTCAACTCATCTGCGGCAACCGTTACATCTCTCTGCAAAAACCAACAGCAGGACATGGGTGGGCTGGATATGCAAATGTTTTTGTTTCCCCCCCAAAGCTGGGCTCTTTGTAACACATCCCGATCGCTCTTCAACTCATCTGCGTTTCCACCAAACTTTTCTGACACTTGATGTGGCAGTAAACAACTTTCGCAGCGCTCTGAGCCTGACATCTTCAGCCACACCATCAGACAGCTTAGAAATGGGGAAGGCAGTTATCAGACTACACTTCCCTCTACCCCCAAGTTTATAATATATATATAAGTCTGAGGATAATTTTTTTGTAATAGGTAAAGGGACCCCTGACCATTAGGTCCAGTTGTGACCGACTCTGGGGTTGCAGCACTCATCTCGCTTTATTGGCCGAGGGAGCCGGCGTACAGCTTCTGGGTCATGTGGCCAGCATGACTAAGCCGCTTCTGGTGAACCAGAGCAGCGCACAGAAACGCTGTTTACCTGCCTGCCGGAGCGGTACCTATTTATCTACTTGCACTTTGACGTGCTTTCGAACTGCTAGGTTGGCAGGAGCAGGGACCGAGCAACAGGAGCTCACCCCGTCACGGGGATTCAAACCGCTGACCTTCTGATCGGCAAGTCCTAGGCTCTGTGGTTTAACCCACAGCGCCACCCGCGTCCCTATGTTTAACATTAAGGGCAATTCCCTCCCCCCCCCGAATTTGGAACTAGAATGAAGTCTAGCTCCCCGGAAAATAAAATAGGATTAATAATTGGGACTGGTGTCGTGTGATAGAGGAGCTAACCCAGAATGCTGTTTAAGAGAGGAAGCCTACCTGCACTTCATAGTAACAGCTAGCACGTTTGCAAAGCTAAGCAGGGTCTGGTATGGTTGCAATACTGGATGGGGGACCACATGTTGAGATTCCTGCATTGCAGCGGGTTGGACTAGATGATTCTCGGGCTCTCTTCCAACTGTAGAATGTTCCCCCCCATCCTTTCCATATAAGCAACTAAACTGATAAGAGCGTGAGGTCTGCAATCTACTCTTCGGTCCAGCTGCCGCCGTATAATTTCTAGCCCATTTTGAGAGATACAGCAAAAGAATAGCAGCTCTCAATCGTTCCCATTTTCGGTATAAGACGCACGTCTAAATCTTACAGCATATTAACATTTAGCAATCCTTTCAAAGTCCGCAGTATAGCAACAGTGATCTACAAAATGGCAGATCTGTTAACAGCGGGGTGGATGAAAATCAAATTTTTTTTAAAAAAAAATACTCCAAAAAATCAGATTTTTAAAAAAATTTAAATTGGATTTTTAAGGATTTAAGTTTTTCATGTGAGCTAAAACTCAGTCTGGGGTGTTTTTTTTGTTAACTGTTTAACCAAATCGATTAGCAAATATGGATACCTATGCTATGATGTTTTTTTTTTAGTTAAATAATTTGTTTAAATTGTTATTAAGGAAATGATTATTTTTCTCCTTCCAATAAAGTACAGCAGAAAAGTTGTCCAAATATAAACAGTTAACGTATTAAATCTCACAATAATTTCATAATTATCTGTCTTTGTATTTCTAATAACATAACCTAATCAGAAATTTTTATATAACTGCAAAAACTACTTTGAAAAAATTATTATTAAAAAAATGAAACCTTCATCGGGTTGTAAATATTAAGATTATACCAGCAAGAATAAGTCTGTCAGTAAAAAAAAGAGAGAGAGCTTTAAATCAAGTCTTACTGACTAGTGATTTAAATCAAACCCACCCTGGTTAACAGACCAGACCAGGCATCCTCAACCTCGGCCCTCCAGATGTTTCTGACCTACAACTCCCACGATCCCTTGCTAGCAGGACCAGTGGTCAGGGATGATGGGAATTGTAGTCCCAAAACACCTGGAGGGCTGAGGTTGAGGATGCCCGGACTAGTTCACCACAACCTTCAGTACCTTTGTGGCAGTTGCAATCTCCAGAGCGGCGCTCAGCTTTTGAACTTGACCTCTGGCTTTTTCCTCCTCTTCCCGGGACTCCCTCAGCTGCTGGCATAGCACTCTTCCCTCCATCTGAAGCACCTTCAGTTCTCCGAAGTGCTCCTCCTGTATCGCGTTCAGGCGCTGCTCTAAATTGGCTGCAAGACAGCAAGGCAGAAACGGAGGTGCGCTGCACTGAGCCCGGCTTCTTAGGCTTCCGAGAGCAGACACCATGTTGAAGGTTTCTTTGCCCGACTTGAAATGTGAAGCAGGCTTCAATGCCGCACCCAAAAATGGTTCAGAGCAAAGGTGGGGGACTGGTGGCCTGCCGTTTGGAACCAGCCAGTGGGAGTGACCGCTGAGACCACCTAACACCGGTCCTGAAAGACCTACATTGGCTCCCCGTACGTTTCCGAGCACAATTCAAAGTGTTGGTGCTGAGCTTTAAAGCCCTAAACGGCCTCAGCCCAGTATACCTGAAGGAATCAGCCTTCTTTATGGTCCAGCTCTCACTTCCATACATCACTACATGGAAAACCATAGCTTTAACTATACGGATACTATATGGATTCATGGGTAGGCAAACTTAAGGCCCGGGGGCCGGATCCAGCCCAATCGCCTTCTCAGTCCAGTCCACGGACGGTCCGGGAATCAAAGTGTTTTTACGAGTAGAATGTGCCCTTTTATTTAAAAAGCATCTCTGGGTTATTTGTGGGGCATAGGAATTCATTCATTTATTTTTTTCAGAATAAAGTCTGGCCTCCACAAGGTCTGAGGGACAGTGGACTGGCCCCCTGCTGAAACAGTTTGCTGACCCCTGCGTTAGATAAAGAAGGCTGATTGCCAAAGAATTGATGCTTTTGAATTATGGTGCTGGAGGAGACTCTTGAGAGTCCCATGGACTGCAAGAAGATCAAACCTATCCATTCTGAAGGAAATCAGCCCTGAGTGCTCACTGGAAGGACAGATCGTGAAGCTGAGGCTCCAATACTTTGGCCACCTCATGAGAAGAGAAGACTCCCTGGAAAAGACCCTGATGTTGGGAAAGATGGAGGGCTCAAGGAGAAGGGGATGACAGAGGACGAGATGGTTGGACAGTGTTCTCGAAGCTACTAAAGTGAGTTTGACCAAACTGTGGGAGGCAGTGGAAGACAGAAGTGCTTGGCGTGCTCTGGTCCATGGGGTCACAAAGAGTCGGACACGACCAAACAACAACCCATGAATCTAATGTCATTGCATGCACCAGCCTTTGGCTCCTGCCCCCTGCAGTTACCTGCATGCTTTGGGTTCAGCTCTTTTTCCGTCTGCAGCCGGAACATACTCAGCTTCATGGTCTGCACAACGCTTTCGAGCCGGCACATCCGATTCACGAGAGTTTCGCAGGTCTGCCACAGCGTGTCCTTTGCTCCACCAAATGCCGTTCTGGCACGGACAGGGCTGATGGTCTGGTGGCCTTCAGAGTCCTCCAAGGGTTTTGAAGGGAAGAGTTCCATGCTGGAAGAAACAAGATGCCCATTCGTTGCTGCGATTTCACATGTGCATATAATATCCTTGGTATTATGCGCACATTATCTGCCTGCATGGCTGCAATCTGGAACACAGCTAAGAGGCAAAACCCATTTCTTGCTGCAAATTGCGCAGGACAGGGGTCCCTGAATTCACCTCCTTCCCCTTTTGCCATACAAGTGAACTGTGGAAAATCCCACAGTTGGGACTACAGTTACTCATCACCCCTAAAACATGGGTGTAGCCCCCATCAAGTAAAACAAGAGAAATACTTAACTAACTGACCAATCAGGCCGGTTCTCCCACCCCCCAAACAAAAGTCCTGCCCCTCCCCAACAAAAATCTTGGCTACGCCCATGCCCTGAAAGAAGATTATCTACTTTCACCAACAGGGAATCCATGGAAGATGTACATATACAGAGAGTTCCCTCATTTGGATACAAAGCTCAACTTTGGTTTAGCATCACAGGCAAAAGTGTCACAGGCTCAACTGCTTCCTCGCCATCACCTCCTGCTTCCAGAACAGCCACAAAGAGGAGATCAGAGGCTTTCTCCTCTGTTTTTAATTACAGCAGTTTATTATTATATCCAAACTTGGTGAAACTGTGGTTTGTCTCAGCTATGGTTTCTTGTAACAAGCCAACTTCCAGCTCTTGAAACAAGCCAACTCTTACAGGTTATGGAAGGAGTCACCACCAATGGCCAGGGATGATGGGAGTTATAGTCCAGCAACATCAGTAGGGCACCACCACTGCACCAGGGCAGTTTCCCAAACTTGGGTCTCTAGCCGTTTTTGGACTACAATTGCCATCATCCCTGACCCGTGGTCCTACTAGCTAGAGATGATGGGAGTTGTAGTCCAAAAACAGCTGGAGACCCAAGTTTGGGAAACCCTGCATTAGCGTTTCTCAAACTTGGATCCCCAACTATTGTTGGACTACAACTCCCATCATCCCTAGATGGCAAGACCACTGGTGGGCACACTTGCCAGTGATCAAATAAGCAAGGGCATTTGATAAGCAGACCCTGTCTCCTACTTAGCCTCTTAATTCCTATGGAAGCAGTAAGGATATATTTACTTTTTCACACATGATTTCTCCATCTTGGCTTTATTTCTGTTACATAAATCATGACATGGTATAATATGTCATGTGTTGTTGTTGTTGATCTGAGGTTGCATTTACCCAGTTTTAAGGCCTGCTAAGGAGCAAATGAAAGGGACACGGGTGGCGCTGTGGGTTAAACCCCAGAGCCTAGGACTTGCTAATCAGAAGGTCAGCGGTTTGAATCCCTGCGATGGGGTGAGCTCCCGTTGCTCGGTCCCTGCTCCTGCCCACCTAGCAGTTCGAAAGCACGTCAAAAGTGCAAGTAGATAAATAGGTACTGCTCTGGCGGGAAGGTAAACGGTGTTTCCGTGCGCTGCTCTGGTTTGCCAGAAGCGGCTTAGTCATGCTGGCCACATGACCTGGAAGCTGTATGCCGGCTCCCTCGGCCAATAAAGCGAGATGAGCGCCGCAACCCCAGAGTCGGCCACGACTACACCTAATGGTCGGGGGTCCCTTTACCTTTAAGTAACAAATGATTGTGATTATGTCCTGATATGTAAACCCACAGAATTCAAAGAATTCACTTTATTTTTCCCCATGACTGTAAATAAAAAGGTCTGATCTTTATGTCAATACCTCATTCACTTCAGTGCCCTTCATCTGCAACAAAACTTAACTACATCGACTCAAAACAATACGGTATTGTTTCAGAAGACTGATTAAAATCAGAATACATCAACTTCTTAATAACTTGGGTGCTGGTAGCAAAGGCCCGTCAGACGTTCAGAGAGAGAGAGAGATGATCACACAAATAAAGGAAAATGCAGAATGAAGGTTGAAGTCCTGTATTTACATCCCTGGAAATTACCGTGGAACTTACTTCCATGTAAACATTCATACATTTGTGCTTCAAAGCATTTATTTTGACTATACCTTTGTCCATCAATGCCCAGCGTATGCAGTTCCTTCAAAAGTGCATTTGTCTGCTCTTCAACTACTTTCATCCTCTGGTTCAGCACCACAAAGGTTTCAGGAGCTGTCGAATGGACACTCACTGGGAAGATTATTGGCCTTGCCATCACCGTCTCAGCATTCAACATTGAACTGCAAACAAAGTCAGAGATACCTCTTGATCATCTAATAGAAAGAGAGAGAAGCAGAACATCAAAAAAAAAGAGAGAACTGAGTCAATGAGATTACTACTACTACTACTACTAATAATAATAATAATAATTTATTTATACCCTGCCCTCCCCAGCCAAGACTGGGCTCAGGGCGGCTAACAACTAATAATAAAAACAAGTTGATTAAAATACAATTTTAAAAAACAAGATTAAAATTCAACATTAAAACATTAAGATGCAGCCTCTTCACAGGAGGAGAAAGGAAAAAGAAAGAGGGGGAGGGAATCAAACTGATTCTAAGCCAAAGGCCAGATGGAACAACTCTGTCTTACAGGCCCTGCGGAAAGAAATCAGATCCCGCAGGGCCCTGGTCTCATGAGGCAGAGCGTTCCACCAGGCCGGAGCCAGTGTTGAGAAGGCCCTGGCTCTGGTTGAGGCTAATCTAACTTCCTTAGGGCCCAGGACCTCTAGGGTGTTGCTATTTATGGACCTTAAGGTCCTCCGTGGGGCATACCGGGAGAGGCGGTCCCGTAGGTACGAGGTACTACATCTCTAATAGGGCCCAGAGGATTATCTATGCCATGGCTTAGCCTTAAGAATCCTGGGAATTTTGAATTTGGTGAAGATGCTAAAAATTCCCTATTTAAAATCCCAGTCTCCACTTTCACAAAATGCATGGTCTCTCCAAACACTGACTGGCAGTAGATGGAGCATAATGAACCAAAGAAATGACTTCTTCCGATAACACGCAATTAATTTAAATCAGTGGCTGTGATTTGGAACGCCTGCTGCAGAAGCAGCAGCGCACCTCCCATTTATCGGAGGAATGGGACAGGCTTCGTGGCAGGCTCTTCGCCTGCTGACAGCTCCCCCCCCCCCCTTCAATCCCAGGTGTTTCCACTGAAAAGGACCAGTTAAGCAGGTGGCAATGTCTCTAAGTGAGTGAGAGAGAGACAACTTCAAGTCAAAGCAGACAGCTGAAACATCCTCGGTGTTCAAAGGAAGCTTCACATGTTCCTTACTAAACAGATCCCAGGGAGAAACAACTGAGTGGAAGTCAGCTGCTATCACCTTGATGCCTTTGCGTTTAGGCTTTCCAGGGCCACCTGGTTGGTCCCTGTTTGCAGGCAGAAGTGATATCAGGAAAGAAACGTAACAGACAGAATAATTGCCAAACACAGGAAGATTAAGGTTATAGATTGCGTGCCGCACTTGTAGTTTCATAAATCGTTTAATGCGTCAATAAGAATGGAGGTTGTTAATATTGCAGTTGTTGCATAAGGGATTGTTATTGTGACTTTAGAGTAATTGAAATTAATAAGATTTTGGAATGCAGAAATGAAGAAAACAATCAAACCATCCATTCTAGCACGCGGGGGGGGGCACCTAAACTATATAATTTGGTATCCGAATGATTGGTATTAGTATCATAATTTGCCATTGTTATAATGAGGATATGGGACGTGGGTGGCGCTGTGGGTTAAACCACCGCGCCTAGGACTTGCTGATCAGAAGGTCGGCGGTTCGAATCCCCGCGATGGGGTGAGCTCCCATTGCTCGGTCCCTGCTCCTGCCAACCTAGCAGTTTGAAAGCACAAAGTGCAAGTAGATAAATAGGTACTGCTCTTGCGGGAAGGTAAACGGCATTTCCGTGCGCTGCTCTGGTTCGCCAGAAGCAGCTTAGTCATGCTGGCCACATGACCCAGAAGCTGTACACCGGCTCCCTCGGCCTATAGAGCGAGATGAGCGCCGCAACCCCAGAGTCGGTCACGACTGGACCTAATGGTCAGGGGTCCCTTTACCTTTATAATGAGGCTATTATTGGACTGTAATTGAAAACTAGTAAGAATTATCATTTTCAATCCATCCCAGTGATATCATTTACCCGTGTTCTTCCTTCTGCTTCCAACAATTCACTGCATCTGAGACTCCAACCCACCAACCCCTCTCTCTTCCTAGTGACCCTCTCTATTCTTTTGGTGTACAGTATATAATCATTTAGTTCCGAAAAAATACTATTAATATAAACTTGAAAACATGGGTGTAGCCAGGATTTATGGGGCGGGGGCAGAACTGAGCTATCTGCAACAAGATTGGTCAGTTAGTTATTATTATTTTTATTTACTTGATTGGGGAGGGGCTGCAGCTGCCCCCACCCCCCTTAGCTACGCCCATGCTTACAAAACCGATATTCCCAAGATGCAGAAACAACAAAACTGTCACTTATGAAATGAAAGTGCCCACCGTTTACAAATCCCCAAGACCTGCTGCAGAAGGCCAATACAAATGATAACAAAACAGATATGCCCACCTATCCCTAATCCCCACCCCTTAATTAAATCACATTATATTATTATTATTATTATTATTATTATTATTAGCAACCCCTAAGCAGCGCACCCAGTCTGCTGGTGCCTGGCTATTTTGCGCCCTAGGCTAGGCTAACATATTTGCACACATCCCAACCTGGAGGGGAGGGAGAATAAAAAAAATTGCTAACTTCCATTTCCAAAAAAACCAGAAACGATAGGATTCTTGGAAATATAAAAGCAAAAAAATCACCAGTTGGGTTTTTTTTTTAACATAGAGCAAAAGCTAATCTGTATAGAAACGGTGTCCCTCAACGGTCAATAAACGAGGTCTGCGTCCCAGTTGGCCTAATTGATGGATTACTGATTAATGATCGCACCGGCTCCGAGATGCGCAGCTGATCCTCCTTTTCCTCGCCTCGCCCTGCACACTCCGGATCCACTTCACTTTCTTCCTTCTTTGCAACTTACCGCTTTCCCTAGGCGGCGGGAATCGCCCCGGCTCTCTCTCCCCGGCTACCTCCGGAGCGCAGCGGCCGCGGACTCCTCCTCCTCTCCGCCCCGCGCCGCTGCGCGCGGAATATGTTTCCATGGAGCTCCTCCCCGGCTTCAAACCGACATGCTTTGCCCAAAAGGGGCGGCCACTTTCGCTGCATTATGGGACTTGTAGTCCTCCCCCCCCGCCCGCTTTCCCAACGTAGCAGGATCTTAAAGTGGAAATGATTGATCAAGTTCAATGCAAACCAAAACACCGCCTCGGTGCAGAGACGCGCACCGGGATGGGTCGTTTCTGGGTGCGCGCGTTTTTGTTTGTTTTTTGTCGCTGCAGCTCTTGCTGGATTTCAGAAAGTGCAGGAAGCTCCTGCAGCCAATGAGAAGCCATGGAAGCCCCGTCAGTCATTCGACTTCCAAAAATAGTTCGCAAACTGGAACAATCACTTCTGGGTTTGCGATGTTTGGGAGCCAAAACGTTTGGGAACTAAGCTGTTCGAAAACCAAGGTATGACTTTCTTCCAGTAGCACCTTAAAGACCAACTAAGTTAGTTCTTGGTATGAGCTTTCGTGTGCATGCACACTTCTTCAGATATGTATCTGAAGAAGTGTGCATGCACACGAAAGCTCATACCAAGAACTAACTTAGTTGGTCTTTAAGGTGCTACTGGAAGGAATTTTTTTTTGTTTTGACTATGGCAGACCAACACGGCTACCTATCTGTAACAAGGTATGACTTTGTATTTCTTATAAAAATTGATAGATTCTGCTCTGCAAAGTTCACAACTTAAGTTTTCAATCCATGTGGTTTAAAAACATTGCTTACTGAACTTTTCAAAATAAAAGGATAGAATAAAGAGGTTTGATACTTTTTTTTTAAAAAAAGCATGATATACAAATATATCATAAGCATAAATGTATCTAATAAACAATTGGCTTTCTTGGTTGCCAAATACACAAGTTGTCTCTGGTGCTTCTGCTAATTAGATTTGTGAACTTCCTAAAGTCACGTTTAAAATTATAAAACGCATTCTAGAGTGGCAAGACTTGCCAGAATGTTCTGTATACATTTCATTTTCACTCCATGGAAAGTAGTTGGCAGAGTCAATAGTCTGTTTCATGGGAAAACCATCAGGTTCCCCTTATTTAAAGACCATTTGAATTAAATACCATTAAAGAGCATTTGAATTCAGAAATGAAATGAAAACAAAATTCATGTTGTCCACGCATCGGCACACTCAGGTCCCAAGGGAAGCAGACAGAAATATTTTGAGGCTGGCCGGCCGTCCATCTCTTACAAAGCTTTCAGCTCCATCAATTAGTACCGAAGCTGATGAGAGCTGTGGGCATTACATTCCACTGGACACCCCTTCATTGGCATTTCACCCTGTCTCTGGCTTTGCATAATCCGATAACCAATCTGCTGTATTCCGATTAATTAAATTATCTGGTATTTCTGGTTTGAAACGGCTCGGGTTTATTCAAGATGCATCTGGACTTTGTGATTTGTGGTTTGGGAGACGGGCGGCGGGGAATATTTGTGGCAGGGGAACTGAAGGTACTTTTTATCACCTTTGGTGGACGTGCCCGAGGATTAAGGCTTTCTGGGAAATGATTTATAATGAAATTAAGAAGGTCCTTAAATGTACCTTTCACAAGAAACCAGAGGCCTTTCTCCTGGGCATGGTTGGCCAATTGGTGTCAAGGAAGGATAGGATGTTTTTCATGTACGCTACCACAGCAGCAAGGATTCTTTTAGCAAAGTATTGGAAGACACAAGAACTACCCACGCTGGAAGAATCGCAGATGAAGGTGATTGACTACATGGGACTGGCTGAGATGACCGGCAGAATCCGTGACCAAGGAAAAGAGACGGTGGAAGAAGATTGGAAGAAGTATAAAGATTATCTTAAGAACTGTTATAAAATTAATGAGTGTTAAAATGTCAAGGGTATTGGAAAAAATAGAATTACAGCTGTAAATGATTGGGTAAGAGAGGTAAGATTAAAGAAAGTGAACAAATATGTTAATGAAGTGAGGGGTTGTTGAGAAATTTTTTTTTAAAAGGGATGCAGAAAAGGGAGGCATGGGGAAGTCGGCGAAACAAGCTTAAGAAAAGGAGGTTATGAAATTATACGTGTTTATATGTTTGTTTTTGTTTGTTGATGTATTGTGAAGTGTATTGTGTTTATTTTATGTTGGAAAATCAATAAAAAAATTTATAAAAAAAAATATTTGTGGCAGGGGAGAGGGAGGCAGGGGAGAGATCAGAAGGTTGGGCTATATTATGGCGCTCTTTCTCAACTGCGTTTCAATAGCTGAATGCCCAAGGATGAACAATAAAAAATAAAAGTGGAAGGATGTTGTATTTGCTTTATGCTGCTGCTGTGGTATGAATGATAATATGCAGCAATCCCACCAAACAAGCATGCCAAAATGTATAAAACTTGCTGGAAATGCAGGGAGAAGGAGGGGAATTTCTTGCATATGTGGTGGACTTGCTCCAAGATTAAAACCTTTTGGGATAGTATATACAATGAATTGAAACAGGTATTTAAGTATAATTTCAGTACAAAACCAGAGGCTTTCCTGTTGGGGTTAATTGAGGAAATTGAAGTGAAAGATGTAAATTTGTTCATGTATGCAACAACGGCCGCAAGAATACTCCTGGCCCAGAAATGGAAGCAAAAAGAACTCCCCACATTGGAAGATTGGCAAGTAAAGATGGTTGAATATGTGGAGCTAGCGTCTGTAATCCAAGGTACCACTGTATTTAAATTTTATGGAATCATCAAACTAGAAGGGACATTGAGAATTGTCCTCGCTTATGGTCCTCAACATACGAGGATAGGTCTCTCTTAGCAGGTGCAGAGCATTAAGTAAGTACAGCCTCCTCCCTCATCTTGCTTTTTATTCATGCTATGACAGGTCTAGGAAGGCGAAGAGTTACTCCATCTCATCCCCTAGGGACCTAGGAGACTGTAGGCCACCTGCTGCACTGACAGGGCTGGAACAGCCAGGGAGATCCCTCTTAAACAGCAGTGGTTCCAGGAAAACCTGAAATTTCTTGGACAATCATGACCCAAATGCTTCTCCGAAAAACAGCCTGGCCACTGTTATCGATCTTCCTTTTAAATGAACAAATGCAGGGATGCATTAGATATGGTCTATGACTTTTTCCAACTGGTTTGGACTAGTTCCAACCGGCTTGGACCGGATCCAACCGGTATGAACTGATTCTAAATGATATCGGATGGTTCCAAGCGACATATTCCTGTTCCAACCGGCCTGGACCTGTTCTAACCAGCTTGGGCCGGTTTCAAATGACCTGGACCTGCTCCAACATGTCTGGGCTGGTTCCAACCCACTTGGACTGGCACAAACCAGACTAAACATGTTCAAACCGGCCTGGACCAGTTCAAAAGGCTTGGACCAGCACAAAATGGCCTAGACAAGTTCAAACCGGTTTGAACCCGCACAAACCTACCTAGACTGGTTCAAACCGACCTATACCAGTTCAAACTGGCTTGGACAAGCACAAACCCGTGTAGACCAGGTCAAATCAGCCTATACCTGTCTGGGCTGGTTCGAACCCACTTGGACCTGTTCAAACTGGCTTGGGCCGAATCAAACAGGCCTAGACCGGCTGAAACCAGCCTAGACTGGTTCAAACCGGCCTAGACCTGCTCAACCTGGCTTGGACCAGCACAAACGGGGTGCTTTAAGGGTGCTTTCGAACTGCTAGGTGGGCAGGAGCTGGGACCGAAAGACGGGAGCTCACCCCGCCGCGGGGATTCGAACTGCCGACCGTACGATGGGCAAGTCCTAGGCACTGTGGTTTTACCCACAGCGCCACCTGCGTACCTCTAATCGGCCAACAAATCGGCCTAGACCAGCTCAAACCGGCTTGGACGGGCACAAACCGGCCTAGACCGGTTCAAACCGGTTTGGACCGGCACAAACCACAGGTTTTTTCCACAGGTTAAGTTGTCGAGGGCTGATTTCTTGCCTATGATAAAAAGCCTTCTGTTTCCACCGCCAAACCTTTCAGGGGAGAATTTGCAACAGTTTGGCACCATTTTTGAGAGAATTGGAGAATTTCAGATTTTTGCTGAATTGTGACCCCGGGGCTTAGAAATTTTTTTCCCCACAGGTTTTGTCTTCGAGGGCTGATTTCATTTCCTATGATAAAAAGGCTTCTGTTTCCACCGCCAAACCTTTCAGGGGAGAATTTGCAACAGTTTGGCACCATTTTTGAGTGAATTGGAGAATTTCAGATTTTTGCTGAAATTGTGACCCCGGGGCTTAGAATTTTTTTTTTCACAGGTTAAGTTGTCGAGGGCTGATTTCTTGCCTATGACAAAAAGCCTTCTGTTTCCACCGCCAAACCTTTCAGGGGAGAATTTGCAACAGTTTGGCACCATTTTTGAGTGAATTGGAGAATTTCAGATTTTTGCTGAAATTGTGACCCCGGGGCTTAGAAATTTTTTTTCCCACAGGTTAAGTTGTCGAGGGCTGATTTCTTGGCCTATGATAAAAGCCTTCTGTTTCCACCGCCAAACCTTTCAGGGGAGAATTTGCAACAGTTTGGCACCATTTTTGAGTGAATTGGAGAATTTCAGATTTTTGCTGAAATTGTGACCCCGGGGCTTAGAAATTTTTTTTTCACAGGTTAAGTTGTCGAGGGCTGATTTCTTGGCCTATGATAAAACGCCTTCTGTTTCCACCGCCAAACCTTTCAGGGGAGAATTTGCAACAGTTTGGCACCATTTTTGAGTGAATTGGAGAATTTCAGATTTTTGCTGAAATTGTGACCCTGGGGCTTAGAAATTTTTTTCTTCACAGGTTTTGTCTTCGAGGGCTGATTTCATTTCCTATGATAAAAAGGGTTCTGTTTCAACCGCCAAACCTTTCAGGGGAGAATTTGCAACAGTTTGGCACCATTTTTGAGTGAATTGAAGAATTTCAGATTTTTGCTGAAATTGTGACCCTGGGGCTTAGAAAATTTTTTTCCCACAGGTTAAGTTGTCGAGGGCTGATTTCTTGGCCTATGACAAAAAGCCTTCTGTTTCCACCGCCAAACCTTTCAGGGGAGAATTTGCAACAGTTTGGCAC